AGGTTTGGATGCACAATGTCCAAGCGCAAGTAATGGGCTACTTATCCTAATAGCCTTTCAGATCCTGCCCCATATACTTGGCTGGGTTCACCTAAGGGATGTAATTAATTAGCTTTAGTGTCGATATCCCGCCTTCGCGCACGAAATCTGACTGAGCTTGATAATAGCAGAGTAATCATCATGATGAACAAACTGTTATTGATCGCTCACCTATGCACTTCGATAATAACACAAGAAGCTCTCCCAAGCTATCGTTCCGAGAAATTTACGCCCACGTGCTGTGCATTGTCACAATCACGCGAACACACCGAAACACGCGTAACAAGCGCATAGTCAGCTCGCTCAGAAAGGTAGGCGAACCGCTACTCACAAAGAGACCCCGTTTCTGAAACGTTCTGTATGTACCATCATTTCCGGGCGCGCTGATCAGCTTACCAATGATGAAGCGGACATCTGCACAATCATGACCCTGTGAAACAAGATAGGAAACACGACATCGCTATGTAACTGCAAGAAGAGGGACCACCCGAGCTTACCGCATCTTTGTCCAATCGCCATTACGATCGGTTTTATCCTCGCATGCGCATATGGCTGATCACGCCTTCTTCTGATAATATAATAGGATTTTAAATCAAAATTCTCTTCGCGATGCGGATAGACGTTGCGTCTTGGATCGACTCGCCGTTTATGTGGAAGAGATACCTCGATGGGCGTCGGGGACTCGGCCTCGTATGCATAATGGGCGTATTGGTTTGATCTGCGAGTAACGTTGCAGTTCACCGCGATCGTGATTCTAGAATTGATGATGATGGGCTTTTTTGAAGCTGGGCGATGGTTTCATATCGAGATCGGTATCAGCTGAGACTTGAGCTTTGCACGTGGTAAGAAGATGGGCGGATCGTTGTGTGCCACGGATGCAGAACATTATTAGATGAGCGCGATGGGTGTACTTGATGGTAGTAAGGAAGGTTCAGCAATATCGGCGTATCAGATCGCAGTAGGATGATGGGAAGCAGTCGCATGCACACTGATCGAGTGATCCCGTGAACCGAGAATTTGGGAGAACGGTGACAATCTGAGAGTCCGAGTTGGATGATAGAAGGTGAGGTGACGACTCGCTGGGAAACACCAATCAGCGTCTTCCATCTTCCTTTTGTGATGTATCTGTTATGATTTGAGGAAGTTTTAAGTTGCAGGTTACTTAACACCTCGGCCAATCACAAAAGATGCATATGCATGCCACCAGCCAACTCTAGTAGCAATGATGTCGGAAAAAATATGGTTGACTTGGGTTGACCTAACATGAGTTTGGCCCTGATTGGCAAAGGCCTCTCATCCTAACACATACAAACAACCCCTTCAAAATTTGAAAGTAAGGATCTGCCACCTAGGCGCCCCAAATCCAAATGGCGACATCACTCGGGAAACGCAGGCAAAGAGAAGAAGACGCACCCTCATCACAACCACACGGGTAAGTCAAAATTTTCACATAAAACACCAAAACAACATAACATCGCGCTTCATCAGGTCCACACTATTCGTATCCAACCTCCCCTATGATGCAACATCCACCGACCTACAAACAACATTCTCAGATTTAGCACCCGTGCGATATGCTTTTGTCGTATCCAAGAGCGGGACTGGGGAGTCCAAGGGTTTTGGTTATGTATCTTTTTCGATCAAGGAGGATGCGCAGACTGCTTTTGATACCGTGTCGACTGAGGGGATCAAGATCAATGGGAGGAAGTTGAGGGTCAAGTGGGCGGATAAGAAGATGGTGGGTTTTGTTGTCGTTTATCCGTGGATGGGTTTCTTATGGGTGGTATAGGACCAGGGTAAATTCGAAAGCTCGAAGGAGCGCGTTGGAAAGGAGAAAAAGCCAGAAGTGAAAAAGCAGGCGGTGGTAACACAAGAGGCGAAAAAACACCAGCCAGAAGTGAAAAAGCAGGTGGTGGTAAAACAGGACGCGAAAAAACACCGTCAAGAAGTACAAAAGCAGGAGGAAAAGGCGAAGCTTGAAGATGTCAATGAGAGTGACGCCGAATCAGATGATGTCAAGATGGTCGACGTTGAAGATAGTGATGTTGAGAGTGATGCTGAAGACGAAGAGGAGCAGTTGGGTCTTCATGAAGACGAGCACAGCGACAAGGACGAAGACGAAGACATCGAAGACGACGACGATAAAGAAGCCATAAGTGCTGAAAATCAACGACGTCCCATGAAACCTCAGCTACCTCAAACGGACACAGGTACCACACTCTTCATCCGCAATATCCCTTTCATTGCTACAGAAGACGAACTACGGGCACTGTACGTGTACCTTCTCCCACTACCCCATGTGTACTCACCCTTCATGACGTAGATTCCGCACGTTTGGGCCTCTACGGTATGCTCGAATTACCGTCGAACCAGGCACCGAACGTTCACGAGGCACTGGTTTCGTTTGCTTCTGGAATAAGGAGGTCGCCGACAAGGTGATCGAGCAAAGCGAGATCTTGCGCGCCGAAACCATGGGCCCGCAACAAGTATGTCTTACTATCCGATGTACGACGTGTCTCTGACACCTCTCAGCCAACAAAAAACCCATTTACCCTCCCGTCAATATTAACGCCTGACCCATCTTCAGGTGTAGCCAAAAGTCTTGTACTTCATGGTCGCACTTTGGATGTTGTCAGAGCTGTCACGCGGGATCAAGCAGGTAAGCTGAAGGATGAAGGCGAGAAAAGACGAGAAAAGGCAGACAAGAGAAATCTTTACTTGTTGCGTGAGGGAGGTAAGGTTGATTTTGTTATCATCCTTGTTATCTTTGTAAATCAGAATTCTCCAGTCATCTTGCCTAATACGCCAGCGGCCAGCACCATACCACCTGTTGAACTGGAGAAGCGGACTAATTCATTCACTGCTCGCCGCACGATGTTGCGGACAAATCCTTCCTTATACGTATCGAAGACCCGACTCAGCGTTCGCCAGATACCCCTATTCGTTACTGAGCGGACTCTTAAACGCCTCGCCCTCCACGCTCTTCGTACATTCCAAGATGAATTCAAAAAAGGAGAACGCAACGGTTTGACTCCCGAGGAGCTAGAAGATGTCACCAAGGAATCCGATGAACCAGGCGACTCCAGCACGAAGCCGAAGGCCGGGAAACGATTGCAGGGAAGCAGAGTCAAGCAAGCCAAAATCGTGCGGCAACATGAACGGGTAGATCCTGTCACAGGAAAAGGCCGCAGCAAAGGTTATGGATTCATCGAGATGCCGCGGCATGCGGATGCGCTACGCGTTCTTCGGTGGGCCAACAACAATCCTGCTGTGGCGCCACTTCTGAGCACCTGGTGGAAAGAAGAGCTCGGAGACCTCATCAAGCTGGAGAAGGGGAAGAAGGATTCTGATGAGGCTAGACTGAAGCGGATAAAGGATGAGCTAGAAGGCCAAGTGAAAATACCGAAGGGTACGCTTGTTGTGGAATTCTCCATAGAAAACGTGCAGGTCGTCCAGCGAAGAGCGAATCAAAACAAGGAAAAACCGACAGTAAATGTATGTATGATTTCCGTCTATGATCACTATTTCTGACTCAGATTTAGACGCGAGTCACAAAAGACCACGGTGAAATATCTCAAGAACCACCTATGAAGAAACGACGCGTTGCGGCTGATGAAACACCAGCGAAGCCTGTGAAAGAAGAACATACTAATGGTGGTCAGAGCATTGGTGCAGTTATTGGCAGAAAGAGGAAGGAGCGTAAAGCTGCCAAGAAGAGCGCAAAGTAGCCCTGAGTCAAGTGCTGTCTTGTTTTGTTCTTTACCTTTGGTCGTATCATATACCGCTCAAATGGACCACAGTTTCAAAGATATCGACTTTCATTGGCTGACTGACTAGAGACAGAATTTCTATATTTATATTCTGCAACATTTAAACAACGGAGACAGCTGTTAGCTGATTCGCAAAAACAAGTTGAACTGGCGTCATTAAAACATCCGAAGCAGGACCCCGTAAGCATTAGGCTTGCGCTCGTTCGTATACACTGACTTCAGCCTGCCACCACACCGGCCACGCACACTCACTCTCCCTTCTAGATTTCGCATACCTGTTTTTCACCAATGCAGACACTTCGTCGCAATTTACTCGGTGTTAAGAAGACACTTGTATAGTACGGCTGACTCGGACTCGGACTGCCAGCATTGCATCTCAAACGATGGGCATCGCGGCAAGCGTCGCAACTTCAGTATCGATGACATTACCTTTCTCACTGCTATCCTCCGCGGAAATACCACCATGTACTGGATGAGCTACAACGCGAATTACGGGCACGCCGCGGTGCGTATTTGTACATACACTTCTTTGCACCCTGCATACTGGGTATTACTGGCAGGCTACATTACAGCCAGAAGGGTATCTCCGCTCGTGCTCTGGAACGACTCGGAGATGAAGAACGATGTGCCATCTTCATGAACCATATTGCCGAGATGGCTTCGAACACAGGAATGCCGATGTTCGGTGACGGAACTGCGAAAGGACATTGATTTGTGGAACAAGGTTTGCTTCATTTACAGCCTAGTACCAGTCGAAGTGTACCGTTTCTTCTCAGTGACCTTATAGAGTGATTTATCGTGCTAGTTGTGGGGAAGTCAAGGTATTTGGGCTCGGAGACATGCATCGACATTTACAACAGAGATGGTCTCCTACTGAGGTATTTCTGGGTCGGGGGATGCAAAAGGTGAGGCCATTATTGAAAGCAAGTCCATCTAAAGACTATGTAGTACTGATCTCTCGCCGCGCCAGCCTGGTGTTCAAACGTTGAACCGAGTCACCCACGTGCTTACGGGGTCCTACTTCGGTCACTTCCGAGACGTAAAATCATAAATGTCTCCGCATAATTTTGCAATCAACGGTGCTCTACGAGCTGTTCTGGACTCCTGGGGAATAGTACTAGTGTACGAGAATAGGCCTAGGACCCTAAGTACGGGTACGGATAGCCGATAAGGTCTGTTTGAAGTGTTAATGTTTTCTAGCTGATTGGATATGAAACAACTCTTCTACACTCCCTCCGTCATCGTCATCCTCCTCCACTCGTCACTCATCGATGCATCACCAACTAGAGACTAAATAACAGTATGAGACTCGCCGCGTTTTTATCATTAGGAGATAGTTGTTGCTAGACGTATCTCTGACAGCGGGTTTCCAGCGGTTGAACTTGCGCAACCTGAATTTCTCACAGGTGACAGTGGGCAATACCATTTGACAGGAGTAGCATAATCCCAAAAGCTTGCATGATCCGTTATCGATATTTATTAATCAAACCACATGGGCTAAGTGAATTCAAAAGCTACATATTGAGAACCAAGGCCGTAGAAGAATAAGGCCTTACCACTGAACGTCTATTCGCGCACCGCAACTCACTGTACTTATGTCTGACTCTAAAGTATGGCTGATCACAGGCGAGTATCCTCATTTCCTATGGTGTGCATCAAGCGGTAGCTTACGTCGATCATTATAGGTACATCATCAGGCTTTGGTCGCCGTTTAGTATCAATCGTTCTAGAACGCGGTGATCGCGTAGTCGCGACGGCCCGATCTCTCCAGAAAATTCAAGATTTTCCCCAATCTCCAAACCTGCATCTCCTAGAGCTCGATGTGACTGCTGGAACAACTGCAATCAAGGAACGCGTAGATGAGGCGGCTAAAGTATGGGGCAGGATTGATGTGTTGGTGAACAATGCGGGTATTGGATTACCAGGAATCCTCGAGGAATGCGGGTAGGACACAGACGTGTTTTTTTCCCGTGCCTAATGCATGTTATCGGTTTCAGGGTGGATAGGCTACAAAGACAATTCCGCCCTAATGTCTTCGGTGTGCTGGATGTCACGAATGCAGCATTGCCATACATGCGTGAAAGTAAGTTTCTGGAGATATGCATGTAACACACGCTATGAGCTCTGCAGGGAAAAGTGGTACAGTAGTTATCATCGGGAGCCGTAGCGCCTGGAGGCCTGAAATTAGGGTGAGTGGCGTTGTCTATCGTTGATAGTGGCTGAACAACGTCTATTTCAGGGAATTGGTGAGTAATGCCTTTTAAGCTTTTCCCTGGGTGACCAACACCACGGCTGGCAGGCTCTTATGCCTCATCAAAGGCAGCTGTGCATGGTAAGTCGCGTTGAACCCATACACGTTGCATCGTCCATGAACTGAAAAATTCTGCAGTAATGGGCGAAACACTTGCCGTGGAACTTGCATCGTTCAACATACGCGTCCTGATCGTCGCGCCTGGCGCCTTCCGCACCGAAAACATATACAGCAATAAATTTGACACGACGCATCCTATTCCTGATTATGATGAAACGCGAGCTAAAGCATTGCTAAGGTATGAGACTGTCCCTGGCAAGCAGCCAGGAGACCCCGCGAAGGCGATGAAAATCGTCGTAGACGTCGTAAGAGGAGAAGGCGTTGCAGTTGGGAGGGAGTGGCCGTTGTATCTTGTCTTGGGGGAGGATGCAGAGAAAGATGTCAGAAATAAATGTATGAAGGTGTTGAAGCACCTTGATGAATGGCAAGACGTAATTCGGGACGTGAATCTATAAACCGACAGATATGTAGCATTAGAGTTACATGATGTAAATTTATTGCTCTTTTCGGGTCTAAAAGGTGCATCATCATAAACCTGGTTCCACGCTTCATTTCCTGCTCGTGTATTAGGAACTCATGAACGACTGCAGTCTTCCTTCTCTATGACCTGGCTAGGTACTAAGAACTAGATTTTACGGACCACGCCAGACTATACAAAATGTCGGGGAAAACGTCAGCAATTCACCCCCTTTCATGCGGCTCGCGAGCACGCTCCCTATACGCATAATAACTACTTTAATTGATGAAATAAGTGAGCCATCTACTCTTCGACCGCGATGCAAAGATTCGGTTGCGTATATGCTGTAAAAATGCATGACATACAATCGTGGTGTTTGATGTCATGTCAGGAGCTGGCCAGCGACGTTCTTTGTCTGGTGTGATCTCTGCACGATATCAGGATTGCAGCCGCGCATGACGTATGTCAAATAAAACGCCTCCTATATTCATATTGCCCCCAACTTTGCAGTCCATGGTTGTTCAAATTAATCTGACATTAGGTGATGTCGTACCATTCGCTGCATCACGGGTCGGCAAGAACCCTCAGTTCTGTCTCAAGGGACAGACTCGGAGACCCATATGGGCCATTGGCCCAAAGCAGGTCTCCAGCGGGATCGTCTGGTGATTGGCCAAGCGAAGGGAGCTTATGAAATCCTCTGCCTCTTCGAAAATCTCCCAACCTCTATGTCGCCCACCGTACGATCCAAGTGGTCAAATACAGATCCTAGAGCGTGAGCTAGGTCAGGATGACAAGGGCCGGATGCTATGCTCATCATGGCGTCAAATTTTCGTCTCAGTCCAGCAAGCTGGTCTGGCGAGAAATAAACCTCAGGCTATAGTAGAAGTGAATCATTAGAGAATGAACGCAAAACGGTATCTTGACGTACGATGCCTGGAGGTGGTCCTCCGTTCCCCTGTGGCTGCTCTAACATGGGTCCCACGCCATCCTCTTCTGGGCCCACGTCATCCCTTGGCATTATTTGAGGCACATCAGTAATTCCAACTGGTACTGTCATCGGCGCCGTTGTGAACAAAGGTTGTTTCGGCACTGGCTTTGGTGTGGTCTCCATCTTGAATTCTCCCGACTGCGACTTGCGAAACGACGCAGGGAAACTTGGGTGCGCTTCAGCATGTGTCATACGAATGCGAAGAAGAAGCTCGTTATCGTCCATCGTTGTTATACGTAGCCAGCCGCCACAATGATAACGAGTGATGCGAGAACGTGACTTGGCGCGATCGGCATCTTGGTTTCGCGACTTTGATTGCTCTCCTTCAAGCTGGGCACAGAAGTATGTGACGACCGTCGACTTTCCACCGCGCTTTGTTTTCTTTTGACTGTATGAAAGACGTCTTGTAAGAACTGCCCCAGTGCATGCATGACGTAGACAACGCACTTCCAGTGATATTCCGATGCTTCTGCCAGGAAATCTCTAATCTTGTTCGTCCGATTATACAAATGTTCCCCAGCTGCAAACATCCCCGGCGGTAGATTCACCATAGTGTCAAAGTCGAATGGGCGACCTTTGTTCAATGTGACGAGTTTCAAGAAGTCATCCAAGCTCATCGCCGCGGTGGCAATCTGCCCACATCCAGATGAATCAACAGTGGCAGCGGACTTCCGTGCTACTTGTTTGTCCATACAGCCGATGCATACTTTGAGGTGACCTGTACCAGTACGTCGGGGTGGGTATGAGTCGACGGGGCCCATATAGGCACAGCGAGTGCACTTCTGAAGTATAGTTGGAGAGGTGGATGAGGAAGGACCCGGAGCCATCTCTGTTGGGATCTCGAATGTAGTAGGAGCCATTGAAGAGGGTGTCGGTGTGGATGACAAGCCCAGCACAGGAGCGGGAGAACCTGCGAAGTCGCCCTATAAATTGGGAATAAAATTGCTCAAATGCATCTGCCCATACCTTTTACTTCCATCTTATACTATCTCGGAAGATCTTAACGCAGTCCGTGATATTCTTGAATTACGGTGGTAAGGTTTCTGTCAGGTTTCTGTGGGTGCACTTCGCGACAATCCCACAGATCACGTGCACATCTCAATATGGGAAAATATGACGACTCTTTGTATTCCATCATATGATCACACACCATGGGTAACCTTAAGATCTCATGGAATCAACAACTTTCAGAGCTAGGACGAAGTAACGGAGCCCAGGGATTAGGACATGAGGGATCAACTTTTCGAGACCTGGTTTAAACTGCGTCACGTTCGCGAGCCACCCGGGTGATGTAATCCTTCCCTCGTGGCACCACATACCCGAAGCACGATCACTGTCACTCTGCACCAACATGCGCTCTCATGTCGACCGTCCTTCTTTTGTACAACATCATCTCTCTGTCAGCCCGCAGATGCAGCTGGTTGCTGCCCACCAAAAGAATCTGTGAAATTGTTCACTTTGATCACGACAATTGATTTCGCTCGCATTCCTGCTAGGCAACATGATCATGGTAGTCTGATGAGCGCAATACTCGAATCAGAAATTGTTTACGCACTTTGGGGTCCCCCTTGTTTGATGTTGCACTCACGGAGCCTATCAGCTCAAACGTTTTGGAGGACGTTGATACGCTTTGCTTCAAGAGAGCATCAATGCCTTCCAAACATATTTATGGCTGAGAACACTTCATGTTGGGAGTCCTTGTACTCTCAGATCATAGTTGAGACGAACCTTCAGCCGCCCTCAGCTGTGGACATACGTAAAATCTAACCGATAGCACCTAATAGGGGAGCGCCTGTGTGCACTTTACCACCCACTAGAAATGCAGATTTGAATATGACATAGAAGGATTTCGATGGCTGGTTGAGGATCGCAGGACCTGAGCTCGGGCGATCAGCCTGGAAATGCACATATCCAAGAAAGCACTCGTCACTTTGTCAACGGGTTAGACAGGTGTCTTGATCGTACAGTGCACTTGCCTTTGAGTATTCATGGTGCCCGAGGTCCGATATTCTGCAAAACGCCTGAAATAACGCTGGCACCACAAAGGGAACCCTGCACTCCCTCTCTACTTCACTGAGCATACGCTCAGCACGGAGACGTTGTGTCCTTTCCTGCTGCAACTCGATTTCAAGCAGTATCAGTCGCGCCTCCATATCTACAAGAAATCAAATGAGTCAGCTACGTGCATACCAAACTGCTGGTGTACGAGACCATGGGGTGAGGGTGCTGTTTCCTCACTCTTCGGTTGAGGAACACCAAGACGCATAAGATCTTCCGATATCCCTTTCTCAGAGTGTTTTAAGGTGGTTAGCTGACCGCGGACCTTCGAAAGCTCGAGCGATAGCCTATTGATAGCCTCTCTATCTCTTGGTGGGCGGGGACTACTAGGGGTGGGGCTGTTGCTTATGCCGGGTGATCCTGGAAGGGGTCTGATGTGATATGGAGGGATGCGTAATGGCTGTTGAGGGGTGATTGTGAGCCCCGCCCGGGATGTCGGGTATCTGGACCGATGAGTTTTGTTGCCCATTTGAGTGGGTTGGTATTCTTCAGTTGAAAGGCCGTTTAGAGTATGATTCCCATCCGCTGTACTGTTCTAAATGGGGAGGTACTGCTCGGTTCGAATTCTCTTCAACAAAGGATTCGAGGAGGGCTCATTATTACCATCTGACCCAAAAGGTGGTGATGAAACACCTTGCTCGTTGACGAACTTGGAAACGTTTAGTGTATAGGAATGGCAGATAGATCACAATACCCACATCGAATCGAGATCTCTTCCTTTGAACTACTTCCGTGGTGAATTGTGAATCAGAACGGTCTGACGTAGATGATAACGGTGGACTCATTCCTTCTGTCCACGGCAACTCTATTGTATGTTTTGGTCCCAATGGTGACAAATTTGTTCCGGGTGTTCCCATGAAATCAATGGACGGTAGTCTATGATGGACCTTCAATAGATGTCGTTTGTATGAGGACACTCTCACATTTCAACAGTCACCGATTCGCTTTACAGATGAGATCGCGCCTGAGTTTTATTCATGTACATGTGCTTCTGTAAAGATGCTTACATAGAGAGCTCCTCTTTGACCGCGTTCAGCTCTGGATTTCCCTTGGAAATGGTCACCCATCTTGGGTACAAAGTGCCCTAAGAGCGGATCAACCGTAGTTCACGCTACAAGACAATACTTGAGACATACCTCAACCACAGGGACTGGCGCACGAGTGGGGTGAGGCCATGACAATAAGAACGCAGCACCTTCCTGATGGATGTTTTCGCCTTTTGGACGATGTGCTCTAAGAACATTGAGATCTGCCAGAAGGACGTGAAGGGCCTCCGTTTTATTCGTCATCCCAGATATCAGTCGCGCGCCCTTAGCTCCGCCGTACTTGAGCGTGACTTGAATGGTCTCGTAGTTCTTGAAGGGATTCATGAAGGAGATGATAAATGAGTTCAGAATCAGAAGTAGGCCGCTTTGCTGGTTGCTGCCACACGTGAGCAGGCGTATATAAGCAAATTACACTAAACCTTTTCACGTGTTCTTTGATCATTCTGCCTAAACCTCATCGCAACAATCATCCTACTAGTACCAATACTCTAGACTTCATCATTCAGCACTTCAAAGTTCAGACCTACATCTCTCAATACATAACCAACCAACCAATCAACTATTGAGATATTCATTCTAAATAAATATATCTTGTCACCCACGTGCAGCAACAGCAAAAGTGAAGGTGACGGGCGGCCTACTCTGAACTTCCTTGTAATACAGTACTTCTGTCCAATAGGTGAGGTTTGCCGGAAATTGGAGTATAAAGAGGTGGCGAAAATTTATTCGTTGAATTTCCAGGCGCGAAGCTGGAGACATCAAAATCCAAAGCAAAAAGAATCAAGTCCAGTAAACTGTTAAGCTCATCTACACTCTATATTCATGATACATAGTCGTATAATGTTGTAGATCGGTTCATATATTCACGTCCCGGATTACGTCCTGCCATTCATCAAGATGCCTCAACATCATCATGCATTTATTTCTGACATCTTTCTCTGCATCTTCTCCCAAGACCAGATACAACGGCCACTCCCTCCCAGCTGCAACGCCTTCTCCTCTTACGACGTCTGCGACGAGTTTCATCGCCTTCATGGGGTCTCCTGGTTGCCTGCCAGGGATAGCCTCATACATCACTTGTGTCTTCGCTCGCGTTTCATCATAATCAGGTATGGGATTCGTCCATGTGTCAAATTTATTTCTGTATATGTTTTCTGTGCGGAAGGCGCCAGGCTCGACGATCAGGACGCGTATGTTGAACGGTGCGAGTTCTACGGCAAGCGTTTCGCTCATTGCTACAAGATTCTTCAGATGATGTAACGCGTATTGATTTAATGCGACTTACCTTGCACAGCTGCCTTTGATGCGGCATAAGCGCCTGCCAGTCGTGGCATTGGTCACCCACGGAACAGCTTAAAAGACGCAACTCACCAAGTCCCTGAAACAGACGTTGTTCAACCACTCTCAACCATAGGTGATGCTACTCACCTTGACCTCTGGCCTCCAGGCGCTGCGACTTCCTATGATAACTACTGTACCACTCTTCCCTGCAGAGCTCAAAGCGTGTGTTGCATGCAAACCCGTGGAAACTTACTTTCACGCATATATGGTAATGCTGCATTCGTGACGTCCAGCACACCACAGACATTAGGGCGGAATTGTTTTGTCAGGAAGTCCACCCTGAAACCAATCGCATACATTAGGCACGGGAAAAGAACATGTCTGTGTCCTACCCGCATTCCTCAAGGATTCCCAGCAGCCCAATACCCGCATTGTTCACCAACACGTCAATCCTGCCCCACACCTTAGCCGCCTCGTCTACGCGTTCCTTGATGACAGTCGTTCCGGAAGTCACATCAAGCTCTAGGAGGTGTAGGTTTGGAGATTGGGGAAAATCTTGAATTTTCTGCAGAGATCGGACTGTCGCGACCACACGATCACCGCGTTCTAGAACGATTGATACTAAACGGCGACCAAAGCCTGATGATGTACCTAGATGATTGGCGTAAGCTACTGCTATCTCTACGCACCATAGGAAATGAGGATATTCACCTGTGATCAGCCATACTTTAGGGTCAGACATAAGTGTTCTTACGAATGAAGAGCCTGAGGTTTGGACTGGACTCAGTCTTGGATCTGTAATGCTGCTAAATGAGTTCGACAGGGATTGATGGACCAAGAGAGGCTGAAAGTAAGGACATGCTTTTATATCTAAGTGAGCGGCTGTAGCGGTATACCGGAAAAAACCATAGACGGTATAGTAGCACGTCAAACCGGTACAAAGGGAAGTCCATAGCCGGTGGTACAAAGGAAGTTCCATCGCCAGCGAAGTGACGTTCCTTACAGATCACAAGACTAGATTAGCTATCATGACTATACCTAAGAACGGGGAAGGAACTAGGTGTGGTTATAGCCAGAAAGTGTACGTAGAACAAGAGAGCTTACCTCAGCCTTGGATCAAAAGATTCCTTGATGGGAGAGGAATTGATACGGTTGAGACGGAGGGGAACGTGTATGATCAAGGCGTCTAACGAGAAGTCTCTAATTCGCTTCTCGTTAGACGCCTTGATCACACACGTTACGCCGCCCGGGGCGCGTAACGTACATGAATCAACATAAGTACGTTGTCCTGCCGCACAACTATCAACGGTACTGCGAGAAAATGGATTATATGGAGGTGTCAAGCTGTTCAACTGGGGCACTGATCCAAGATTCCGGCGTCCTTATTTTCATCACCACCGAACAGAGAACACCGCCTACGGATGGAAGACAGAATGAAGTGAGCTCCTGCTGGCAGGGAGCCCCAAGCCCACGAGGCACGAACAGCATGAGAGCCTTCTCGGCCCAGAAGGAAGACTGCCTCTGTTGGAAGATGGAGCTAGAAGGGTCTGAATCGATCAGTCGAAACACCTACACAAAGTAGTAACACTAAGAAGACAAACCCCTGATGGTACGGGATGTTGAATTGTTGCCGACGTCTAAATCCACATTTTTCGGGATGGAGGACGATGATGATGGGAATGAAGATTATGCAACTGATGAGAGGAATGCCTCGTGCACATTGGGGATAGTTTCGTTTGCGAGTGGAGTGGAGAACACGACGTAAGTTGTGAGAACGAGGGAAGGGTACTGATGCGTATTTCGACAGCGCACTGAACTAATGCAAACATGAAAGAAATGGAGGAAAGGTTAAGAGGTTTGGAAAATTACGATGTAAGATGGTTATTCTAAGCCACGGGTACCAATACGATCAGTTGTGAGTAGAATGCCACACCTATCGCACTCATCTAATCATATAACTTGAGAAGGAGCGAACTGCTGCTCCTACTACTAGGATGCTGAAGTTGTGGCTTCGAGCAATATTGTGGCTAGGTATACGAGTGCTTCAAGTTTTGGACAACTTACGAGTAATCAGATATATAGACTATATATCGAATTTTGTGCCGAATATGCCAAGGCAGTCGGGGACTTGGTGCGCACGCATCGCTACGATTGTGACTAGTATTGAGATGACGGTAAAGGTGTACGTGACAAAATAGGAAATCCTTGATTGGCTGCGGCTTTACCAGTCGGAACTTGAAATAATACGCACCGGCAATGCGAGCCGTCCACTCCGAATTCACGCGACAACATCCTTCCTCCACCATCGACATGCAGGTCCTCGCTAAGACCGCCCGCGCCAGCGCACCGCGCTTCTGCATGCGCTCGTTCGCCTCGTCTGCGGAAAGGTGCCAGGCTACTCCTATTGAGAAGCCTGTACTAAACAAGGAATTCAAAATTTATCGCTGGGTAAGTACTATACAATACATCAAAATATGGGGAAGTGATGATGTTTGTGTTATAGAACCCAGATGAACCTGCCAACAAACCCACTCTCCAGTCTTTTACCATTGATCTTAATCAAACTGGGCCCATGGTACGTTCACTCCTACATACTTCTCACTGTAATGTTTGAACACGCCCTTGGCTTTCTTTTGTAATAGATTCTTGATGCGCTCATCAAAATTAAGAACGAAATCGACCCCACGCTCACCTTCCGTCGTTCATGCAGAGAGGGTATCTGTGGTTCTTGCGCGATGAATATCGACGGTCAAAATACCCTCGCCTGTCTCTGTCGTATAGACAGAAACCCGAGCAAGAATTCCAAGATCTATCCGCTTCCTCACAGTAGGTTCTTCGCCGCAGTTCCCCCCTATAATCCTCAATGTTTACGTTTACAGTGTATATCGTGAAAGACCTGGTTCCCGACCTGACGCTATTCTACAAGCAGTACAAGTCCATCAAACCCTACCTTCAGAACGATAACTTGCCCGAGCAGGGCGAGTTCTTGCAATCGCAGGAGGACCGCAAGAAGCTCGATGGAATGTATGAGTGTATTCTATGTGCATGCTGCACGACAAGTTGTCCATCGTATTGGTGGAACCAGGATGAATACTTGGGCCCTGCGACGCTAATGCAAGCATACCGCTGGATCGCCGACTCTCGTGTACGTGATCTTTTTTCGCGAGACATGTCGTGAGATCTTATTCGCGTATTTGGTGACAGGATTCATATGGTGCCCAGAGAAAGGAGCAACTCCAGAACGAGATGAGCATGTACCGCTGTCACACAATTTTCAATTGTACGTTGCGTCAGTCACTTCGTGCGTATTACAAATATTCATAGATCCCTCTAGGCGCACGTACCTGCCCGAAGGGTCTTAACCCTGCAGAAGCCATCGCGAAGATCAAGCTCGAGCTTGCCGCTGACTAATAGCCTTGCGTCGACAGTGGGACGGAGCTTGTGTGAACAGGCCGTCACCTGCGGTCGTTACTCATGATTCCGAGTGAAATCCCATCATGATGTTGGTACTATATTTGTCTTCGTTCGTCGATGCAAATAAAGAGAACGTATCTTTGACGTATCTTGTCGATTGTTCACGCTTGACAACGCGGTATATAGTTGACCATACGCAAAAGGATCAGTTCTGAGATCCAGGACTGTGCGAAAGAGCGTGAGATCTCGGCAGCCATTGAAAGTAGTTGCTTAAGCTGTTCTCAAAGGAAATTCACTATCGAACTCGAACGACACGGATGCATAGAAAACGTGATACATGGAATACGTACGGTGAGTTTCGAAATTGTTGAGCAGTTGAAGGGAGCAGTGCATTGTTGCGTTGTATGGCGCATATACAATCTATTTTGAGATCTAGTCGATGGGGAGAAATCTCGGGCGCAGTAGGCATCATTAAGTAGTCTGGACTCTGGTGTTTTTTCAGGTGCGTCAATTGGTGCGATCCTAGACGAAAGCTGCATTAGCCCCAAAGGCAAAAACGAAAACGGCTGAGCGCTGAGTCCGAGTCACCATCAGGCAGAGAAATGTACTAATCGTTGTATTTCCAATAACGTTTTGCTCTCAAGCACTTCAACTTCGTTTGTCAACGGCGGGTGAACTTCCCAGCCTCTACTACGCCGATTTAAAACTATGATGATGTATTGTCGAAGGTTTGCACGACTGTGTCAAATGTGTCAACTAAGGTATTTCACTGTCGCGCAGATTGTATAGTGCTGAGACCAGGGGATGTGCACTTTACTTCGCCTGCATGCCCTACAATTGAGAGTATCGTCACGGTACACCTTGAGTGGGTGAATTTCGGAATTGGTTGAATGCGAGGGGGTATCCTCCGGCCTGGCATACATAATCTTACTTTAGTAGGGGCATCGGTATTTACTATTCATGTTGTATTGAACTCAAAACTGTGAAAAGTTGGCGTGGCATTTTTTGCCTTGTCATAGCCGCGTCAACGGCGCATCACATGCATCACAACCGATGCAGGATCCACGAATGACCGGAAGGGATAGGTTCTAATATCATCCGCCAAGCATATACATGATAATATAAAAGCAAGTCATTTTGCTACCGTCACCAGCATCCACGCACCTCAACGAAATCATCCGAACACTTCAAACAAACAATGCGCTTCTTTTTTCTCACCTTTATTGTTGCGTTGACAGCGTCCATATTGTCTGTCACAGCAAGGCGACGAAACTGCAGCCCATCTGGAAATATTTGCGTAACGGATAGTAACTGTTGCGAAAAAACTGATACCTGCTATGGTGGCGTGTGCGGGCTTGAGATGAGCCTCCTCCACCCTGAGAACAGGCCGTAGCGACACACCAGTGAGTGTTTCCGCATTCATATTGGCGGCGTTTTTAATCGAGCAATATGTAGAACGCTGCTGATTGAGAAATGAATAGAGGTGGGTGAAAGGAGTACATGTATGAGGTGTCTGCACACTGTTTGGTCTTGGCGTAAATATGACACCGCGGCCGCGGCAGACTGGCCAGCGATAAATCAAATGCGTGTTAGCTAAAAGACGCGCAGTTTGATTGGGTCAAAAGTTAAAATTTTCACCGCTTTTATTCATCCACTCGACAAGATTAAAGACATGCAATTGCTCATACTTTTTTCTGTGTAAGTCTCGTTTAACCGTCTAGTTGGAGCTCACAAGACAGTCAAGACCTGTGATATAAATCATCAACTTATCTGGCTTCGGGTCGATATTAAAGGCGTTGATAACGAGCGCGGGAACAACGAGGAGTCTAGAACGAGAAAGATCTCAGTGTCTTGAACGAAACTCTATTACAAACGGTGCGTCTACCTAGAACGAGAAAGCTACAGCTAACGTTAGACGTGTTAACAACTCTAGGTGACTTTTAGAACGTACATCTCAGTGTCTTGAACGAAACTGAGATGCACCTGCGCTACTGGTACTGGTCTTATAGTAAGTGTGTCAGGAACTTGAATATATGAATGAGAGACTGAAAATAATCTAGGATGCGAGCCGATGTCACTCCACCGCTCGCCTATGTCCATTTTGGCTTGAGCTCGTACCTATCACCTCCCGGACATCCTTATCTCGGATCCTTCGGCTTCTCTCGTCTCGGACGTCTCGGCTTCATAGTCCAACACTCCCCCTCGAGCGCAAGCCACGCTCATCAGCATCCTCAACTTCTGGAGTCGTGGTCGTGGGAGCGCCTTCGTAAAGGCGTCAGCGATGTTGTCCTCGGAGGGGCAGTAGAATAACTTGAAGGTGCCGTTCTTGACGTGTGAGCGGACGAAGTGGTATCGAAGGTCGATGTGCTTGGTGCGTGACTGGAACTTTCCATTGGATGCTAATGCTATCGCAGCTTGATTGTCACAGAACACGGGAATGGGATGTGGGACGGGGTCGTAGAGCTCTTCGATGAGCAACTGAAGGTAAAGTAATTCGCGTATCACACTGGTCAGGGCGATATACTCAGCCTCTGCCGTGGATAGCGCGATCAGCGGTTGCTTACGGGCACTCCATGCCACTGGCCCTCCGTTTAATAGAACGACATACCCGGACATTGAGTGTCAGTGGGGTTGGGACGCCCAGTCTGCATCCACGAAGGCTTCAAGGCCGCCGTCCGTCGAACCGAGTGTCAGCTCGTAGTCTCCCATTCCCTTGAGGTAACATAGCGCCCTTTTGGTGGCCTCCCAGTGGGGCCTACCAGGATTGCGCATGAATTGCGACAGCGTCGCAACGGGGAATGCTATATCAGGCCTGGTGCTAGTGGCTGCGTACATCAGCGAGCCAATGGCTCGCTGATACGGCACGTCGCGCATGGCCTGGATCTCCTGCACTGTGGCAGGTCCCTGCTCAACGGACAAGGTAAGTGTTGGCTCCATCGGCGTCTGCGCACTCTTAGTGTCTCCCATGTAGAAGTGTTCGACGATCGTGTCGACATAGGCTTTTTGGGAGAGGGTCAAGGTACGTGCACCACGGTCTCGTGTTACCTTTAGGCCTAACAACCAGCTTAGCTCGCCTAGGTCCGTGATTTCGAAGAATTCGCGGAGGTGGGACTTGAAACGGGTGATGTGGGAGGTGCTGTTGGCGGTGACGGCCATGTTGTCCACGGAAACGGTGATGACGACGTGTTCTCCCGGTGCCCGCCTGTAGTACACTGCCTGGTCCACCTTGGACCGGGTGAATCCTATCTTCGCAAAGACTCCCGCTAACTCCTCAGCCCACTCAAAACCGGCCTGCTTCAAACCAGGTAAGCTCCTTCGCAGCCGCAACACCTTTCCTCGCTGACTCTCCGTGAGATAGCCGGGTGGCCTGCGCATGTAAATCTCCTCCTGGATACTGGCATACAGGTACGCACTTTTTATATCGACCTGGTGGATCTCCCAGTCGTTCTGAGCCGCCATTGTCAGCACGGTGCGTATGGTGCTCATGTTGGCTGTCGGCGCGAACGTGTCGAAGTAGTCGACACCGAATTGCTGCCTCTGGCCGTTGGCAACGAGTCGTGCCCGCAGTTTGAGTTTTTCGCCGTCGGGTCCACGTTTCGTGGCCAAAACGAAATGGCAGGGGATGAGGTTAGCGCCACGAGGTAAGTCTACTACTTCCCACGTCCCCAACTTCTTAAGTTGACTAATCTCGTAATCAACAGCTTCTTGCCACTCTACTCCATCTGGTCCGTTTAACGCCTGCTGCCAGGTGGGCTCTGGTTGGGCAACTGCCAAGGCAAGTTGAAGGTGAGTCTCTTCGTCCACTAAATCTACCTCTGACGCTTCCAACAGGTTCTCCATCGCTATGGCCGCTGCATTGCTGCCTTTGTTCAGGCTCGCATAGTAGCCTGGAGGAGGTCTGGCCCTCGTGGTCCTTGGAGGAGTAGATGGCTGAGGTTGCTGCTCGGTAGATGGTTGAGGTTGCTGGGCGGTAGATGGTTGAGGTTGCTGCTGCAAGGTAGTGGTGATGGGCTGGAGGCTATGAGGTAAGTTATTATTATTACTGTTGCCGCTGTTATGTTCGTTAACAGCGGTAGGCTCCCCCTCGTCCAGTGCATCCACCAGGATCTCTGCCGGTGCAAAGGTGAGGTTCCTCTCCACCGATACACGGCGTTTCCCCGGCCAGTACACCCTATAACCCTTGCTTTCAGCGTCTACACCCACAAATACGGCCTCTACAGCCTTCGGCTCTAGCTTCCCACCCTCCAGCATGTGCACAAAGACCTTCGCCCCAAACTCATGGGCGCGCGACAAATCTGGCTTGCACTTTCGCACCAGCTCGTAGGACATGGTGCCGGGGATGGACCTTGAAGGTAAGCGGTTCTTTAGCCATGCTGCGTAGTTAATGGCTTCTGCCCACAGATACTTTGGTAGGTCCCATCCTATCAACATCGCCCTCGCGTGCTCCACCAACGTCCGGTTCAGACGTTCGGCCACGCCATTCTGCTGCGGTGAGTCGTGGACTGTCAACTGACGTTCAATGCCTTGCTGACGGAGGTACAGGTCGAATTCGGTGCTAAGATATTCTCCCCCTCTGTCCGAACGGACTTTACGAAGCGTGACGGCCGGCGTCTGACGCGCCAGCCACGCTTCATAAGCCTTGAAGGCGGTAAGTGCTTCGCTCTTCAGTTTCAAGAACTGAACCTTCGTCTGCCTGCTGTAATCGTCGGTGAAGCTGATGTAGTAGAGGCTCCCGTTTAGACTGGTCGTCTGCGCAGGTCCCCACAGGTCCGTGTGCACTAAGTCTCCATAGGTAAGTGCGCGCGTACTGGACTCATCTGGGTAGGGTTTCTGCGTTGACTTCGCCTTCACACAGACATCGCAAAACTCGGGCTTGGATGTGAGGTCCAGCTCTATACCGGTGACGAGGCTCTTCTTCACGGCGTCCATGGCTGCTGCTTGGGAGGTGTGTCCTAGGACACGGTGCAGGCTCCCTACGGTGAGTTTTTGCCTTGCTACATTGGCATGATGCGTCTGACGACGCGCAACGACGCTGTAGAGTCCCTCCAGCTGCAGAATCTCGGCGATAACATGTCGCTTCGGCCCTTGGGAGAGGATCTGGCACATGCGTCCCTCGAAGAGGACTGCTAGGCCAGCCGCCGTTATCCTGTTTGTGGAGATAAGGGTGAATGCCATCCTAGGTGCGTATAGCGCATTTTTCAGCGTCACAGTCGTGCGCTTCTGACCCATTGGCAGCTCTATCTGAACATCACCTCGGCCTATGGCACTTAGAGTCGAGCCGTCAGCTGTGTGCACGTCTTGGGGTGGAATGGTGACGAAATTCGTGAATTTGGCCCGGTCTGGGCAGAAATGAGATGTGGCGCCCGAATCTACGATGGCTCCTCTCTTCTCCACTGGTACGTCCAACTGCCCTGCTACGTTCGCTAAATCTGATGTTACGAAAGCATATTGGTCGTCCTGCGCCTCAGACTGGGTGGCTGAGTTGGCTGCCTGCTTTGGCGCCTTCTCACCTCTCCTCTTCTGTTGGTTGGGACCTTGTCCCTCCTTCCCACCACCCGGACGCCAACAGTCGGTCTTGTAGTGGCCTTTCCGGTCACAGTTAAAACAGGTGACGTCCGGATTGGCTTTGGTGGCGCCTGCTGACGCTCTACCTTTCCCTTTTGTTTCTCTTGCGGAGAGGGCGGAGCCAGAGGCTCCCTTTTTGGTGGGACGACGTTCGGTGAGTAGGCGATGCTCATACTCTTTGGTCACGATGCTGATTAGCTCGTAGGAGGTGATCGGAGTTTTGGTTATCCTAGCCGCTGCGCTGATGGAGGATAGGAGTGGTCGGTAGGATTCTGGGAGCGAGCCCAAGATGATGGCGTGGAAGTCGTTGTCGACGATACCTGCGCCCATTCCGGCCAAGGACTCGCAGAGCCTCATGAGCTCTGCGAAGTGGGCCTTAACGTCCCCTCCTTCATCACAGCGTGTCTCTTGCAACCGACGCCGTAAGTCAATTTGCACGAGTTCAGTCTTACCCTCGTGAATCTGACAAATCTCATCCCAGATCTCGGAGGCCTCCCCAAGCTTCTGGACGCGCAGTAGTAGCCGATCGGTGATCGTGCTAAATATCTGCTGCTTCACAAGTGAGTTTTTTTGGTGATACTCGTCGATCTTGTTATCGAGCTCGTCTATTTCAGTCTGCGATGGCGTTGACCTGTCAGGCTTTTTGACGGCCTTGGTTTTCGGATCGATGACGAAAGGAATAGGCTCGCAGACTCGACCATTGGTATATCGCATCAAACCTCGCGCTCCAATAGCCGTTAGTGTTCGTTCTTTGTAAGTAATCCAGTTCGAGCTGTCTTCTGCGAGCTTCGGGATATTGAACAGGCTGGAGTTGGTAGCGGGGAGCGTAGATTCCATGATGGTAGCAGGGCTCATAACCTAAAGGCGTTGATAACGAGCGCGGGAACAACGAGGAATCTAGAACAAGAAAGATCTCAGTGTCTTGAACGAAACTCTATTACAAACGGTGCGTCTACCTAGAACGAGAAAGCTACAGCTAACGTTAGACGTGTTAACAACTCTAGGTGACTTTTAGAACGTACATCTCAGTGTCTTGAACGAAACTGAGATGCACCTGCGCTACTGGTACTGGTCTTATAGTAAGTGTGTCAGGAACTTGAATATATGAATGAGAGACTGAAAATAATCTAGGATGCGAGCCGATGCCACTCCACCGCTCGCCTATGTCCATTTTGGCTTGAGCTTGTACCTATCACCTCCCGGACATCCTTATCTCGGATCCTTCGGCTTCTCTCGTCTCGGACGTCTCGGCTTCATAGTCCAACAGATATAGCCTGACCTTCGGATACAGACATGCCAAAGATAGTCATGCCATATTTAGAGACCTGTTTCTCGATCGAGAATGACCACGAAACACATCAGTTTGCTGTCAACAGCATGAATCAGCAACATATGGCTCACGAAGACTTACCTTGGACTTGCACCCTTCCCACCTCAACTCTCCAAATTTTACAATCACCACAACCTCATCTCAGCCCCCTTCACCCAAACACAACAAGAAAATACACCTCAGTCACGGCGCCTGCAGAGCACTATGAAAGGGAATCGGGATTGAGTGATGAGGCAGCGAGAGGCTAACATTTACTCACTGGAACCAAGTCTTGAAAATCCTCGCTGAAGAGATGTGAAGGAGGTGATTGAAAAATTGTTCTGCTTTCTGTTGGTCATATGGCCCGCGTGGTCCATACTTAGCGCCTCGTTGTTTCGCGTCGAGTGTTTGCAGTGCAATTGTTGCTGCAAATAGTTGGTCATCCGGTGTCTCTGTATCAGCCAGTAAAATGATGGCAACAGTACCCACATCGAATCGAGATCTCTTCCCTTGAACTACTTCCGTGGTGAATTGTGAATCAGAACGGTCTGACGTAGATGATAACGGTGGACTCATTCCTTCTGTCCACGGCAGCTCTATTGTATGTTTTGGTCCCAATGGTGACAAATTTGTCCCGCGTGTTCCTGTGAAATCAATGGACGGTAGTCTATGATGGACCTTCAATAGATGTCGTTTGTATGAGGACACTCTCACATTTCAACAGTCACCGATTCGCTTTACAGGTGAGATCGCGCCTGAGTTTTATTCATGTACATGTGCTGCTGTAAAGATGCTTACATAGAGAGCTCCTCTTTGACCGCGTTCAGCTCTGGATTCCCTTTGGAAATGGTCACCCATCTTGGGTACAAACTGCCCTAAGACATCACTGAAAATCAAGATGTGCTATAAACCATTATATTTGCCTTATAATGGTCATAATACCCGCAATCTGGTAAAATATGGCAAGCGGTTAGATAATGTCATATATACCTTTAAACACCTAGCCTCCTTGACCAATTTAAATAATGATCATACATATTTGTCGGACTACCAAGTATGGCTTGTAAGTGAAGAGATTAACATCCTTTTCGCCCAATACACTACCTTATAAATGCACAACGGGGAGTCAGACGTTAAGCAACAGCAACTGAAATATGCAGAAGGTGATTATCTAGCTAATGCTAGCTAATATTGGTAATATATATAACGGAATGTTTGATTCTGCGGAACCAATTCGCGTCTACCCCACATGCATGCTCATCATATATAGCTTTAAATACATAGCATTTGTGGCCGTCAGCCGATCTACATAATTATTACATGTATATACCAGGACTCCGAGTATGGTACTCTACACATGTATCCCATAGCTCAATGGTATCTTGGCACTAGCCTCTATCCCGGTAGCTCATTTGCAATGCGACAGTAACAAATGGTTGGCCATGAAAAGTACTGCGAGCATCTTGAAGTTCGACACAAGCAAGATGCAGGTGTTATTTGGTACTACTGATTTCGTATGCAGGATTTGCAGGGCATAGACTCGTGCGCCAGCAGAGCATCGAGCGCAGTAGCAGAGCATGGTAGTAGAGCATCGAGAGCGGTAGTAGAGCATCGAGAGCAATACTAGAACATCGAGCACAGCAGTAGATGATCAAGTCCAATGATAGGATGCAGTTCGGCAATGGGAGTTAGCCATGGGATCAAGGGCTGGCCATCCAATCGAATTTCTACCGTCGAGCGCCCCGAGTTTCCTGTGGGGTTGTTCCTAGCCATAACCAAGTTTCCTAGACAGACGAACTTTACAAATCCGAGGGAAATGCGGACCAGGAGGGGATTTTCTGGAGCAGGACTTGTCGAGAAAGTAGTATTAATGAGTGAGTAAAGGTAAAGCAGGCGATTGTGTGGGTACAGAGCATCGCCGGGGCGCAAAGAAGGTCCGATAGAGTCTGATAACGAGTAACGAACTATTTCTTATAAATGACTAGAAAATATACTTGGTGAGCGGTGATTGAGGTCTTGACTTGCTCTGCCGACACGTACCTCGTTTACTTTCAGATCCGGGAACCGAACTGTTTCAGAATAGGAAGAATTGCATTATTAAAGTTAGGAATGGAGCAGGGTTGCAGGGCTGCGAGCTTTGGTGTCAATAGCGGACAACAAAAACGAACGGAGAACCGAACCGCTTTGCTTTGCTTGAAGGGGAATTCGGTTCTCGAGTACTTACATACTTGAACATGAGACCAAACTTGCCTGCCAAACTAGTGTCTAGTAGTTCGACTCGGAACATCAAGACAAATGACTAAAATAACGAACCTTTACCATGGTAGAGAACTTGAACATCAACTCGGAAGGGAAAAGAGGCTGAAGAGCGGCTATATCGCAGTATGCATAATCAAACAGCGAGTCAGTGGTCTCTTGCGGGGAATTGACAGGACATGCACAGACTGGCAATGCGGTGAGGCCAGATGCTCGACCGCTTCCGTGTCCTTGATGGAACACCAGTACTAAAAGCGAGAAATCTGACATGAGGTGGTAATGGTTGAGTCATCACAAAGAAAATAAAAGAGAAAACAGACCGAAAACCAATAGTTTGATTTGTGTCTTAAATGTGCAATGTAGAGCACTCGGAACTTGATAAGCTGTTGCCAGTGGGATATAATGGCATGTCCAATGGGTTCCGATGAGACCGAGAGTTGCAAAAATCCTGGCATTCGTCTGTCGCCCGATATACCATTATATTGGCATATCAAGCGCTGCATGGATGGAGAATATGGTCCAAAAACGATATTCTCACGTGCACTTGATAATCCAATACACCGGTATGTCAGGGTATATCATGGCCAAACAAAATTAGCTGAAAGGGTAATATAACTCGACTCATATCAGGCTGAGTGAATTTCAGTGATGGAGCGGATCAACCGTAGTTCACGGTACAAGACAATACTCGAGACATACCTCAACCACAGGGACTGGCGCACGAGTGGGGTGAAGCCACGACAATAAGAACGCAGCACCTTCCTGATGGATGTTTTCGCCTTTTGGACGATGTGCTCTAAGAACATTGAGATCTGCCAGAAGGACATGAAGGGCCTCCGTTTTATTCGTCATCCCAGATATCAGTCGCGCGCCCTTACTCTGCCGTACTTGAGCGTAACTTTAATGGTCTCGTAGTTCTTGAAGGGATTCATGAAGGCGATGATAAATAACAATTATAATTTATCACGGGAGTTCAGAGTAGGCCGCTTTGCTGGTTGCTGCAGCACGTGAGCAGGCGGATGTTATATAAGCATATTACTGTCCTACAATATTTACATAAACTTTTTCACATAATGACATTTGATCATTCTGCCTAAACCTCATCGCAACAATCATCTACCAATACTCTAGACTTCACCGGTCATCTAGTCAACCATGTGCCGCAATAGAAAAAATGAAGGTGACAGACTCAGACTCGGACAGCGGCCTACTCTGAACTTCCTTGTAATACAGTACTTCTGTCCAATAGGTGAGGTTTGCCGGAAATTGCAATAAAAATGTATTCGTTGAATTTCCAGGCGCGAAGCTGGAGACATCAAAATCCAAAGCAAAAAGAACCAAGTGCAGTAAACAAGCTCATCTATACTCTATATACATAGTCGTGTAATGTTGTAAATCGGATCATAGATTCACGTCCCGGATTACGTCCTGCCATTCATCAAGATGCTTCAACATCATCATGCATTTATTTCTGACATCTTGCTCTGCATCTTCTCCCAAGACCAGATACAATGGCCACTTCCTCCCAGCTGCAACGCCTTCTCCTCTTACGACGTCTGCGACGAATTTCATCGCCTTCATGGGGTCTCCTGGTTGCCTGCCAGGGATAGCCTTATACCTCACCTGTGTCTCCGCTCGCGTTTCATCATAATCAGGTATGGGATTCGTCCATGTGTCAAATTTATTGCTGTATATGTTTTCTGTGCGGAAGGCGCCAGGCTCGACGATCAGGACGCGTATGTTGAACGGTGCGAGTTCTACGGCAAACGTTTCGCTCATTGCTACAAGATTCTTCAGATGATGTAACGTGTATTGATTTAACGCGACTTACCCTGCACGGCTGCCTTTGATGAGGCATAAGCGCCTGCCAGTCGTGACGTTGGTCACCCACGGAACAGCTTGGAAGACGCAACTCACCAAGTCCCTGAAGCAGACGTTGTTCAACCACTCTCAACCATAGATGATACTACTCACCTTGATCTCTGGCTTCCAGGCGCTGCGACTTCCTATGATAACTACTGTACCACTCTTCCCTGCAGAGCTCAAAGCGTGTGTTGCATGCAAACCCGTGGAAACTTACTTTCACGCATATATGGTAATGCTGCATTCGTGACGTCCAGCACACCACAGACATTAGGGCGGAATTGTTTTGTCAGGATGTCCACCCTGAAACCAATCGCATACATTAGGCACGGGAAAAGAACATGCATGTCGGTGTCCTACCCGCATTCCTCAAGGATTCCCAGCAGCACAATACCCGCATTGTTCACCAACACGTCAATCCTGCCCCACACCTTAGCCGCCTCATCTACGCGTTCCTTGATGACAGTCGTTCCGGAAGTCACGTCGAGCTCTAGGAGGTGTAGGTTTGGAGATTGGGGAAAATCTTGAACTTTCTGGAGAGATCGGGCCGCCGCGACCACACGATCACCGCGTTCTAGAACGATTGATACTAACCGGCGACCAAAACCTGATGATGTACCTAGATGATTGGCGTAAGCTACTGCTATCTCTGTATTTGATACGCACCATATGAAATGAGAATACTCACCTGTGATTAGCCATACTTTAGGGTCAGACATAAGTGCTCTTCCGAGTAAAGAGCCTGAGGTTCGGACTAGGAACGAGAAAGGCAGTCTTAGATCTGTAATGCTGCTAAATGAGTTCGACAGGGATTGATGGACCAAGAGAGATGGGCTGTTCACTGTAGATACCGAAAGTAAGGACATGCTTTTATATCTAGGTGAGTGCCAGCTATAGCGGTATAACGGAAACACCATAGACGGTATAGTAGCACTTCGAACCGGTACAAAGGGAAGTGCGAATGGGTAAGGATATGTGCGGATAGATAAATGAGAACATGCATGACAAGGTGCCAACAACTCGGAACGCAGACACACCAATGCATGTGAACAAGCGCCGACACAGATGAATGTTAATGAGCCACAAGAAGTGCAAATGAACGCAGACGAATTGTGTGACAACAGATAGTATGGCCAAACGCAGATATGCGCAAATGAATATGTGCGACCGAACAAGTACGAACGAGCCACAAAGGAGGTGGTTGATAGTGCAATACTATCGGCTACCACGACTTCGGATAACCACTCGTTCGGACGGTCACACAATGTAACAGAGTAAGTGTATTACAAGTGTACAATGATATGTGGTCAAGCCGCATCAGGGAAAACTCCGGATTTTGCCAAGCGCCCATAATTGTGTTGCAACTAATGAAAGCACTCACAATCGTCACAATCGTTTACGAGCGGTTGCCCTTTGTCAACCCATGTTATAACACGGTTGCAATCTAACTGCAATACTCATGCATGTAATAGTTGTACAGATATGTGAATTTCAACGGAATACTGGTACATATTTCATCATTCTTGCAATTCACTTGCCATTGTTTGCAATTGACATACCATATTTCATGACACCATATTGTCATGAAATTGGAAAGTCACTTGAGCTCGAGGCTTACAAAAGTCATAAAATAGCGGCAGAATATGATTTGAAGTAGAGTTGAGTGAGATATTGCAAAGTGTCCGAACCAGTGGTTGTCCGAAGTTGTGCCGATAGTACCTAGTTCAGAGCCAATCAGTACTGTTACTTTTGGACAAAAATTCATACCACTGGAGCAATATAAATGTTAGAATTTATGTACTACATAGGATGCTGAAGTTGTAGCTTCGAGCAATATTGTAGCTGATCTAGTCGATGGGAAGAAATCCCAGGCGCAGTAAATATCATTAAGTAGTCTGGTGTTTTTTCAAGTGCGTCGATTGGTGCGATCCTAGATGAAAGCTGTATTAGCCCCAAAGGTAAAAACGACAACGGCTGAGTCCGAGTCACCATCAGGCAGAGCTTAATGTAATCGTTGTATTTCCGATAACATTTTGCTCTCATGGAGGTACTGTATCCATGTACGGCTGACAGTGCTGTGAAAGTGGAAGAGTAACTTGCAGGTGAAAAGGAGGGCACCTAAATGAATTGCAAATACCCAGCGCAGCATGACGGGGCGGACACAATCGACACCGAGCCAACCGTCATCTGCTTATATATGTTAGATAATAGCTTGCGGTGTAACAAAAAGAGATCGAAAAAGTAGTCTTGAGACGGGTGGGGCGGCGGAAAAGCAGTCCCCACTTACATGAGAGAGGGATGGACCACCTAACAAGGATTTCCAAGCAGCTAAGGGCGGGATGCAGCAGGACCTGCTTGTCATTCATCCGTTCCCCCTGCTAGTTTCGTTCCGTCCGAAGAGTACGACACCGAATTGGCTAAGGTGCCCACTCGCAGTGGTCCGACGACTATATTACCCGTCCTCCTCTGCCAGACACATGCCGTTTGGTCGTATGACGGTCTCACTGTCCGGTGAAAAGACCACGCTCCGGACATCGCTTTCGTGTCCCTTAAACAGGACAGGTTCGCTCTTCCTTGTGGCAACTCCACAGACCAGGATGCCCCCATTCAACGCTCTACTCGAAATCCAACGTCCATCGCGTGACGTTGCAACCCTCAAGACTCGGACATCGTGGCCCAACAAGGGCTACTAGATTTGCTCCCCCATGCCCAAATTCCACTCACGAAGACTCCTGTCGCCAGAGCAAGTGGTGAGGAGATGTGTACCATGTATGAAGGCTATGCAATCCACCCGTTCTTCTTGGCCCTTGAGCATCACTTTAACCTGAGGGTTGTCCTTTCCGGTGTGTGGGATATACACACTTGGGGGGATTTGTGGTTGATTTTGTAGTTAGTTGACTGGAGTTCAGTGGCCTCATCAAGGTCGGAAAGGTTGCCCTGATTCTCGAGTATGTCTCGAAGGTTGATAGCGAGATTCTTGATGTGCAGGAGGACGGAGCTCCAGCGCAACCCAACAGAACTCGACAGCCTCATCGAGGTCAGAGAGGACACTCTGCTGCTCGAAGAGTGGCAGCGAGATTGTCGAGTCGAGAGACATGAGTCGATCAAGATGGCAAGGATAGCGGAGCTCAAGCGCAGCACAATGGTGCTCAATAGCCTCCAAGAGGACGCTCTGCTGCTCGAATCCGCAGGAAGGTTGTTAATGACTAAGGTCATTGAGAGCTGTGGCTCGATGTGAATGGCCCGGAGGACACTCCTGCAAAGTCGCTCGACATCATTATCGTATGCCATGTTATGTATTGTGAAAATTTACACAAGGGATGTGAAGATCGCAGTGACAGTGAAGGAGATGAGTGGAACTTCCAACTCGGTGCTACAAAAAACGAGATTGCAACTGCAGCGGGCCGTCTCGTGATGAGTACAAAGTTAAGGCAGGCACGGGATGGATACGCACGTGCGACACGGTGTGAGTCCGACGACACTCCAGAAACTTCATCGATCGTCGTACACCAATATAATGCAAGCCAGTTCGATCATTTTGACTCGGGTGCAAAGGGCGGCAAATTCCCACCCCCTCGGGTTTCCCTTCCGAATCAGGTAATGGAGCAGGGGAGATGCTCCCAACCTTCGCAGCCCAAATTTGCCGGTTCTTAATACTGCAGGACACCAAGTGAGTTTTGCGCAAGTTCATTATGTGCCATGTATGATCATGTATAACACCTTTGCGGTATATTATCATTCTGACACACAAAGTTGGGTGGATAGTATCTGAAGCGTGCATGCGCATGGATCAAGGGTTCGAGTGCTTTAATGAGGAGCGTCTTTCTTCTATTGGTCTGCCTAAGGTAGACTAGCTTTGATAGGTAGATGAAATGCATCATATGTATAAACTCAATGGCTGCCCCAGCTAGAGGATGCCGCAGCAAAGGTAGCATTTTTCCTCAGTTGACCAGTAGGCTGCGGAGTCCTGCCCGCAGTTAGCGGTTGACGGAATGTCGTAGCATATACCTTTTACGCATGGACCATGGGCGATAGCTGGCTTCACCCCAGCGGCAGCGGCGAGGATGGCGAGGTAAGCGAACTGAATTTTCATGGTATCTAGTGCGTCATTGTCAGTGATGATCGATGACTATCAGCCCCGACAAACCACTCACCCTCAAAGTTTGGGTGTGATCTACGCAGAGGCGTTGATAATGGCACGTCAAGGCAGAGCTAAATGTGAGATGAACACCAAGTTCAAGTCGCTCAAGTCTGATCACTTACTGTAAACGAAGCGACTTTGTTTGGGGATCTGGGACTTATCACCTTTGTCAATTTATATGCCACCAGAAGCCCTCAGTACTTCAAGTTGTTGCCAGGTTCTGCAGTCGCCGTCCGACGGCCGCGCCAATGACCGCAAGAACCTGGCAGCTACGATATATAGCCCCGATAAGTCATTGCCGTTGGTTCTAACATCGACGGAGGCGCAGAAACGGCGAACTTTGATATATAGCATGCTATGCAAGCGGCAATGCACGAGCGATTCAGCCGACAGCGTGCGAGTTTCGAAATCAAAATTAAAATCCAAGGCGGCCAAGGAGGTTGGGACAGTAATTAGTAGTGGGAAGGACAGGGGCTCAAAGCAGAGTGCTTGAGGAAGGAAGCACCAGAGCATACACTCAGGGGTCCAGCATACAGCTACAAGATTGTGCAGTAGGCTCGGGCCTGATCATATAGCCATTAACCTGTGACGGTGCCTCAAAAATACATGGGGCAAGGGATACTCACATTTCAATGAATCGCTAGACGGACTTGATATATAAACACTGGCGGTATGACGGCAAAACGAACCGTAACAGGGTAGAAAGAGCGGTATTGCAGAAGGTATCTGCTGCACTGGTCATTAGAAGATGGGACGGCAACCGAAGCTGAGTTGCATGACAGAAAGAGGATCATCATATTATCGAGCAAAATTTCCCCATCCACGAATTACGGCATGACGGGGCGAACAAGTGTGGAAATAAAAATCTGGATTATAAGGGTAGGGCAATATTGATGATTTTGGGTGTGCAGAGCCAATAGACTCGGTGCACGGTTTGTGAGGGTCAGATCCAGTGTGAGTGCGGGTTAACTGCTTAGGAGAACGGCGATCGAGCCGCGGTGACAACGATAACTATGATGCAACCGTGCTGCCTCAAGACGTTAGAGCACTCCGACGACGACGTGTTTACGACACTTTAAAACTGTGGTCATAGAAATCAGCGCTTCAAACTTTCTGAGAGCGGCAATTTGGTCACAAACCAAAACGCATGATGGTTAGGCAGAGTCCAGAATTGTCCGCCGGATTGGCTCAGGTTCGCGGCAAAATTCAAGGCGGGTCTTAAAACCTGTCGAGGGTGTCGGAAGGTCATATCGTAAACACCTTACTAAGTTGTCATTACTCGTCGATGAGCCCTGCGGTAACACACTTGGCTGAGAAATGAGTATTAAAACCATTAATATAACTCACAAAAATTCAGAGGTGTGAAAAAGAGTATGCGCGGTTGAAAATTTTGTTCGTTTGTAATCGCTGCGGACCCACGCAGATTTATTTGTTTGTGTTTATGGCGGCACGCTGATTTCACACCAGGTCTAGGTTGGGTCTACATAGGACCGAAATATTCTGCAACGTGCTGAGCGCTCAGTACGTACCCAGTACGTGAGGTTGGGGCAAAATCCGTGCGGGGAACAAGCATTAAAGAAACGGACGAACCTCACGTACAAGAGTGTGACGCTCCATTAGCGCTGTAATTCTCGCCCAGTCAACCTCGTCCTGCACTCCCTGTCGATGAGCTCGAATAGCGCTTCGTGGCAGTACTTCCTAGGGTCCTTCGCTGCACTTCCGTACACTTCTCCACGGGTACGTCGAGGGAATTGGCAAACAAAGATAACTCGTTACTGTAGGTTTTACCTTGCTCAATTCCAAAAGTTCGACTTCACTTGGCATCCGAGCACCGCTAAGCGTCGCTAAACCTATCCTAAACAAGACTCGTACCTAAACTGGGCGAAATTCCGAGGTCCTCCAACCCATCCGCGCCAGCATCGTCTCCACGTATCACACCTGGTGTGATAAGCAGTAGGTAGGCAGCTTTGTCGTTAAACTCCGCTCGCGAATCATCCAGTTCTGGTGTCACTAAGCTGACTTGGATGCATTGAAATACTTCAGATTCCGGAAGGATAACAGGGCACCTACGACTCAAAAGAATTCCAATGACAAATGAAAGCGGCCAGCCGAATTTTTCAAATTCTGATCTATCGATATGAAGATAGCTGTGAATATACCGTGTTCTCTGTTCGTTGTTTATCGCTAGGACGCGTGAGGAAACAGCGGTTGTAACTTGTCCACCAGTTTTGTTATCAAAGTTGGCCAGAAGGTTGGTCGTGGCAGGAGTCTTCGTTTGCCACGATGGACCTCTACTCACTCAGAATGGACTGCCGCAGTCACATCACAAATCTTTTTTTTGCGCCAATTTACTGGATCCTATCAACTCGAGCCACGTATGCATTGGCAACTAGCTCCATGGTAGACCGCCGCACGGTTTCGTCGAGTCGATTGCGCCAGCATGTCTAAGACATGGCTTGACGCCCTAGCCGCTCTTCTGTGGAGTATAAAAGACAGTATCGACAATCAAGTCGCCAGCAACCTCCCCAAACTAAGCGAAATTAACTCATCATCATGTTTATCCGCCTTTCTACTGTTTTTGTTATGCTTCTCGGCCTGGCGGCCCTTGTCAGCGCAGTACCCGTAAGCCTTGTTTTGTTTGGTACCAAATGTGCCGCACTCACCGTGTAATGTATGCAGGACAAGGTCAAGAGAGAGGAGGTGGGCATTGTTTAGCACCGAACGTCTCAAACTTACTATGTAATGCATGCAGGTCGCAGAACCTGTTGTAACATGGAGAATACCGGGTGAAGTACCAAGTTCTTGAGCCTTTTTGTATGCAGGGACTCCCCAATGGTTAGTAACATCTGTTTCACATAAAATCTAATTGTTGACTGGCAGCGCATTGTACACAGGGCAACTGCTATGTAAAACTGGGCTTGTATGCAGAACAAGTTTATGAGAAAATATCAAAGAGAAGGCATATTTAGATATCAGGCGTATAATCGGACAGTGTGTCTCAGTCTGCGCATCCATCCAACTTGAGTGAAGCTCCGAAGTCCAACAGGGACAAGTACTTGCATGCATAAACACAATTGCTCAAATACTGGTGAATAGCCTGTCTGGCCCATGCGCGGACACCAGGCAGGTCTGGGCGATTCAAGCGGAGTTCAAGGACAAAGCTGCCTGCCTGCTGCTCATCACAGCACGTGTGATAGGTGGAGACGATGGTGGTGCGGATGGGGTTGGAGGGTCCATAATGCCTGGGACCTCGGAGTTTCGCCCTCAGTCAGATACGAGTCTCGTCCGGGACAGGTTTGGTGACGCCCAGTGGCGCTCGGATCCCAAGTGAAGTCAAACTTTTGAAATTAAGAGGTAGTAACGAGTCATCTTTGTCTGCCAATTCTGGATTATTGGACTCTGTCACAGCCTTCTACTCGACCTCGACGTATTCCTGGAAAAGCGTACGGAAGTGCATCAAGATATACCGCAGATACACTACCCGGGCCTTGCAGCAATATCCGAGAATGTTTCGCATTTAATACTCTATTACGTGGCGAGGCACGAGCGGAGGAAATAAAGTTAAGTCTAAATTGTGCGAACAACAAGCGTGACGTTCACACGTCTTGTTTCTCTACCTCGACGAACCGTTCACCCTGCACTTCGTCGACACAGCTTTTCTTTTCCCCTACCCTCCTCTCCCACTTCCATCGTGCATCTATACGACTCAGCGCCTCGCGCACCTAGAACATCGGCCCAAACCGTATGGGACCATGAGGGACAATTACTAACCAGTCGCAGCGAGGCGACCCGCCCGCCCTCGCAGCTCACCTTTTACTCCTAGGACAAAGTCCCCTTCGTGGCCGGGAGGCACTGCGCACCCTCGCCCGAAAACCTCAACAGAATCACTTTCCCTTAGCCTTATCTATACACTCACTTAGTCGCTGTTTCCCAAACAAGTTGATTGCTCCCTGCTCGAACGAAACACCAGTGTGAACCACAGACTTTCAAACCTCACATACCAGTACTGAGTCTCAAGTTTAGTCTTAGCATTCACCGTCACATATTTTCTCTCGCAAGTTTCCATTAATTATTTTAAATGTTCAGTGCCTGAACTTCTGCTCTTCCCGTGCGTATTCATCCCGTGCCTGCCTTGACTTTGTACTCATCACGAGACGGCCCGCTACAGTTGCAATCTCGTTTTTTGTAGCACCGAGTCGGAAGTTCCACTCATTTCCTTCATTGTCATTGCGTTCTTCGCATCCCTTGTGTAAATTTGCACAGACTGTGACACGCCTGATATCTAAACATGCCTTCTCTCTGATATTTTCTCATAAACTTATTCTGCATACAAGCCCAATTTTACATAGCAGTTGCACTGTGTACAATGCGCCGCGAGTCAACACGATGAGATTTTATGTGAAACAAGTGTTACTAACCATTGGTGAGTCCCTGCGTGCAAAAAGGCTAAGAGCCTCCTTACAACATGGTTATGCGTTGTAAGCATGACGCTTACATATGACGCAACTCATCTACCTATGATGTCAGACAATGACGTCGTGACTCAGACGTTCTGTAGATCTCTATCTGATTGGACACCGCTCGGGATACTGTTCCCTATATATAGCTAACTACATTGTACTGACTACTTCATCGTACGATACCCCCTCTCAATCCCATACGTTCATTCACGTTACTACTGTCTGACCGTCCGTCAGTGTTGTCGTCACACATCGACGACTTTACACTTTTTTTTAACGTTCAGTGAACGTAATTTTGAAAGCCGTTATTACCTTTTCCGTTACTGGCTGCGCCGTCTCAAAACAACCGAACCGACCGTTGGGAACTGACTATCACGGTCAAGCCCATCACCGCTTACAAAGTATACAAACTGCCTTACCAACGTTCTCGTGCCTCTGCTCCGTTATCAGCAACAACGCGCAGCAAAGCCAAACAGGTCGTTACAATCGAAAAGCCTTCGACCGGCCATACGTCACTTACTGTAAACACGCCGTCCACCTTAACGTCTCTTAATACCTCACCTTCGCATTCACGTGTGCACACGCGCTCATCCACAACCTCTGATTCTTCGGACTCCGTCTACAATCTCCCTCTCATGGCAACGAACTCGAAGTTGGCTCGCGTCGAGCAACTGTCGGCTAGCAAACCGCCGTTCCTAACGGCGGGTGAGCTCACCCCGGAGGCCTTGCGATCGTGGGAGTTGGGCTGCACGCAGTTCTTTTTGCATAAAGAGGTAAAGGAAGGTGAGATGGTAAAGAAGGTCGCGTGGGGCATGCAAGACCCTGTAATGCAGGATTGGTACAGCAATAATCAAGTACACTTGGACAAACTCACGTTCAAGGACTACATGGCGGAAGTACGTAGCTACTGGCTCCCCTCGGGCTGGGCGGATACTGTCCGACGGAAGATGCTATCTTCAACACAAGGCCAGCGTCCGTTTCACGAGTGGGCGTCGGAATTTCAAAGCCGCAACACCTTACTGCGAGGTACCACCTCACACCTTGCGGATGCAAACATCCTGTACCACTTGGAGTCGCACATGAACCCAGAGCTCGCTGCGGATTACCAAGCCGAACAGATCTCGGAGACCGACCTTAGAAAATGGATCGAAAAGGTGCGGCTACTTGACGAAAGACGCTTACGCTACCTCGTCAGGCAAAGAGACGCTGTAGATGCTGCCTTGCGGGCAGAACGTGCACGCTCTGGAGGCGAAAAGAAGTTCACCGCGGGCACACGTTACAACGCAAGAGCTGGACAGACTGCCACATCGACCACCTCTTCGTCCAAAACCTTCACTCGTCTACCTACCCTGACTGACAACGAGCGACAACTCCTGCGAGATAATGATGGGTGTTTCAAATGCCGGGAGCCTTTCGCCGGACATTCGTCGAGCAACTGCTCAAAAGGATTCCCGGACGGGAGCTCTTACAAGACCTTAACGGCCGCTATGATCGCTTCAAAGAAGTCGAAAAAAGGTAGTGGGATGGTCGCCGCTGTAGACGTTGATGAGGACCACACTGTGGCGGTGGTGATGCCTTCGGCTGTCCTGGGCGATGGTACTGACTCAGAGGAGTGCGTGGCTCCCTTGCAGACTCCTCACTTGCGTTGGGATTGTCTTGTGACTGGGCCTGCCGTTTCTTCTTCTGTCCGTGTATCAGCCCTTATTGACCATGGATCTTCCTTAGTTCTGGTTGACGAAGCCCTCAGTCACAAGCTCGGATTGCGGCTACGAAAACTGCCCAAACAACTATCAATATCCCTCGCACTATCAAAAACGCAAAAACAATCTTTCATTCTTTCGCATTTCGTCAAAATTTCATGTTCTTCTCTCGATAACGCTTATACCTCTAGAACTGTTCGCGCAATTGTGGCTCCAAATCTTTGTACACCTCTGTTACTTGGAGGTCCCTTTTTGCAGCATAATCGGATTGTAATTGACCACGAACTGCGCATGTGCATCGCAAAGGACGCAGGATATGATCTGCTGCACCCGCAGTCACCTGCACCTCACATCAAGAAAGCAGGCGTCTGGGGTCCTGCACTATTCTGGACTAAGAAAAGTGTGGTAAACGAGTTGAAGGACGTGCTGCCGGGACTCAAAACAATCGTTGATAGTGAGTGCGAAACAGTTCGGGGTGTTGACATTGTTGCTGCAGTTCAAAATCGCATCAACAACCTCGAACAGCAAACCTTACTCGACGCGAAAGACAGTGCCATGAAGATGGAATTCAAGGACCATTTTCCGACAGACATCCCGCACAACGACTCGCTGCCTTCGGACGTTCTCTTTAGAGTTCAATTAAAGGACGCTAACCAAATTGTTCAGAAGCGCTCGTATGACTGTCCGAAGAAGTACCGTGCCGCATGGAAGGTACTGCTCGATTCCCACGTGGAAAGCGGACGTCTAAGGCATTCCGAAAGCGAATTCTCGTCGCCCGCATTCATCATTCCCAAGGCTGATCCGACGGTTTTGCCGAGGTGGGTAAACGACTTTCGTTTACTTAATCTAAACACGGTGCCGGACAACCATCCGCTCCCTCGTATCGATGAGATTCTGAAGGACTGCGCGAAGGGTAAGTTTTTCGGAAAGATCGATATGACTAATGCATTCTTTCAAACGCGGGTACATCCCGACGACATGAAGTACTTGGCTGTTCACACTCCGTGGGGAAAGTATGAATGGACGGTGATGCCAATGGGCGTGCGGAACGCGCCTGCGGTACACCAGAGGAGGATGACTGCAGCTCTTCGGCACCTAATCGGTCGCATCTGCCATGTATATCTCGACGATATCATTATATGGTCTCAATCACTCGAGGAGCATGAGAACAATGTACGACTCATACTAACGGCTCTCCGCGGAGCTCACTTGTATTGCTCGCCAAAGAAAACCTCCTTGTTCAATGCGGAAATTGACTTTTTAGGGCATCACATTTCGACGCGCGGGATCGAGGTCGACAAGTCTAAAATCGCTCGAATCGTGGACTGGCCACTACCTCGCCGAGCTACGGATGTTAGAGCCTTCCTGGGCATTGTAAGATACCTCGCTGACCATCTGCCGAACGTGGCGAAGCACACTCTGGCGCTGACACCCCTTACAACAAAGGCCGCTGACAAGTGTTTCCCCGACTGGACTGAAGAACACCAGAAGTCTTTCGATGCCATCAGGGAATTAGTAATCAGCCCGCACTGTCTAACAACCATAGACCATGACAATCCGGGAGAAAACAAACTCTTCTTGGTATGTGACGCATCCGACTATGCTACTGGGGCCGTCCTTTCGTGGGGAACCTCGCGGGAAACGGCCAGACCTGTGGCGTTTGATTCGACACAATTGAATGCGGCACAACGAAACTACCCGGTACATGAAAAGGAGTTACTCGCGATCATTCGCTCACTTAAAAAGTGGCGACTGGACTTACTGGGTATGCATGTAAACGTATACACTGACCACTGTACGTTACAGAACTTCGAACGACAACGCGATCTCTCTAGACATCAGGCCCGTTGGGCGGAATATATGTCGCAATACGACATCACCATCAATTATATCAAGGGGAGTGAGAATTGCGCTGCTGACGCACTTTCTAGACGTCCTGACGTGTGCACGCCGGACTTGTGTGCCGCAATACTGACCATCGAAAGTGATGCAGATCTTCGGACGCGCATATTGAAAGGTTACGAACGAGACGACTGGTGCATGAAACTCACCGGTCTTCTGGAGTCGTTGCCGGGTCTGACGCGCGACGAACACAGCTTCTTCTACATCGCTGGACGACTGGTGATTCCCCGGGTGGACAACATCCGAGAACAATTGTTCCATACGGCACATGACGCGTCTGGTCACTTCGGAGCTGACAAGACTTACGGTCTTCTACGGAGCTCATATTATTGGCCGAATATGAGGAAAGACCTTATTGATTCTTACATTCCATCTTGCACAGATTGTATGCGCAATAAGTCGAAGACAACTGGGACCGCGGGACCATTACATCCTTTACCAGTACCTGACGCACGTGGTGACTCAGTAGCAATCGACTTCGTCGGACCCTTACCAGAAGACAAAGGCTACAATATGCTCATCACGATGACCGATAGGTTGAACTCAGACATCCGGCTGGTCCCATGTAGAGATAACATCTCGGCCGAAAGCTTCGCAACGTTATTTTTCGACAACTGGTTCTGTGAAAACAGGCTACCAAAGGAAATAATATCGGATCGTGATAAGCTTTTCATGTCTAAATTCTGGCGCACTTTGCATAAGCTAACAGGTGTTAAGATAAAAATGTCGTCCGCGTATCATCCAGAGACCGATGGATCGAGCGAGAGATCAAACAAGACTGTCACGCAGTGCCTGCGCTATTATGTTAACCGGAACCAAAAGAACTGGGTGCAGGCGCTGCCTAGGGTACGTTTCAACATCATGAGTACCATTAACGCAAGTACAGGTTTCGCACCGTTTCAATTACACCTCGGACGTTTGCTGAGAATACTACCTCCCCTCGTACCAGACACTTCTACACCTCAAGACTCTGATGCAAAGCGTGACGACAACACTGACGGACGGTCAGACAACAGTAACGTGGATGAACGTATGGGATTGAGAGGGGGTATCGTACGATAAGGTGTTCAGTATGATGTAAGTGACTATATATAGGGAACAGCATCCCAGCGGTGTCCAATCAGGTAGGAATACACAGAACGTCTAAGTCGAGACGTCATCATCTGACATCATAGGTTGCGTCATGTAAGCATCATGCTTACACCCTTTCCCTCCGTCCTTCAGACTTCTCCTTCTCCCAAGCGTCAAGAGCTTCGCAATCTTCCAAGTCTTGTCGCGGCAGCCATTCGTCGTCTTCTTCGCCGAAACCGATCAGTGTAAAGTCGTCGATGTGTGACGACAACACTGACGGACGGTCAGACAGTAGTAACGTGGATGAACGTATGGGATTGAGAGGGGGTATCGTACGATGAAGTAGTCAGTACAATGTAGTTAGCTATATATAGGGAACAGTATCCCGAGCGGTGTCCAATCAGATAGAGATCTACAGAACGTCTGAGTCACGACGTCATTGTCTGACATCATAGGTAGATGAGTTGCGTCATATGTAAGCGTCATGCTTACATGCGTCCTGCATGCATTACATGATAAGTTTGAAATGTTCGGTGCAAGACAACAAGACTTGAGCGCTTACAACTCTACCCCTGGTAGTTTCCCAAGGTTCTCCGGCCTGCATGTATTACATAGTAAGTTTGAAACGTTCTGTGCGAAACAAGGCTTACCTCCTCTCTCTTGACTAGTGATGTGCACGGTTCGGCTTGAGGCCCTGGGCCGGCCCAAGCCGGGCCCAAATAAGCCGGGCCCAGCCCAGGCCTAAGTCACGGCCTGAGGAAGGCTTGGGCCTGGGCTTGAGTTTCGAAAAGCCTGAGCCGGCGGCCTAAGCCGTGGCTTTGGCATGTTCAGTGGCACTCACCGGAGGTACGTTTCCCGACTCTATTTTTGTCTTTCTAAGCTTCTGACTTCCATCACTTTATCAGCTTCAACTCAGATGGTCCTGCACTGTCCAACATATCCAGCAATTCACCCTCCTTCAAGGCCTTATCTCTTGTCTGTTGCTACGGAAAAGCCACGGTGAGCTGCCAGCACTATGTCCTGTGCTTTGCGAGTTTGACATAACTCACTCTACCAGGTTTCAGTTGCGCAAATCGATATTTTTAGTAAATTTAAAGCCTTTTGTGCTTCGCCTTCACAAGTGTCTGCGTGATTGCGCACCCAGTACTATCTTTCAATCGATTTATGTTGGTACGTGTCCCTCTAACATCCCTACCTGCTACCCACCCATGACAAACACAGATGCCGAGCACCGTGTTGCACGTCCCGTGCGCAAAACGAAACCTACAGCCACCCTTCTTCAGCATGCCGAGCAGGCAGCACTGCCATCCCAAACCAAGGCAATTAACGAGTTCCACGCTGCGGAGGCTGCTAAATGTGCTGCTGAACATACCTCCACTTCATCCACTACCGAAATCACGCAATCTCCACCCACCTCTCCCATACCATCAGCGCCGTCTGTGAAATGTGCGCTACGACACGATCTTCTGTTCCGGGAGCCTCAACCATCATCTCTCGTTGAGTTGGATTACCTGGACGACAATGACGAAGAAGCGGAAGCGGACGCAGAGACTGGTGATGTTGTGGATGGAGAAGAAGCTTGGGACATGATGCTTTTGGGTGATGATGCCGAGGACATGTCGGATGTTGAGATGGACGTTTAGATACGTTGTATTCACGCTGTTGCTTGTTACTACTAGCCTACACTAATGAGCATCTGTTGGCTTCCAAAAGCCGCGGCCTGGTTGGGCCCAAGCCCCGGCTTTGGGCTGGCTTGGGCTCACGGCCTAGGCTCTGAATTTTTGTGAGCCTAAGCCCTTCGAAGCCGAGCCTAAGCCGGGGCTTTGAGCCTAAGCCGGGCCGGAACATCACTACTCTTGACCTTGTCCTGCATACATCACATGGTAAGTGCAGCACATTCGGTGCCAAAAAAAACAAGGCTTACGGGTACTGCGCTGACAAGGGCCACCAGGCCGAGGAGCATAACGAAAGCAGCAGAGAGGCGGATGAACATGATGATGAGTCGATTTCGTTTAGGGAGATTGTTGGCAACTTAATTGTTAATGCTGTCTGTTTTATACTCCACAGAAGATGATGTCAAGCTGTGTCTTGGACATGCTGGCACAATCGAGACGGAACCATGCGGTGGTCTGCCAAGGTAGCTAGTTGTCGATGCATACGTGGCCCGAGCTGATGGGATATGCCATTCAGTAGTAAATTGGTGCAAAGTTTGTGATGGGACTGCGGCAGTCCATACCGAGTGAGTAGAGGGTCTCGTGGCAACGAGGACTCGACTGCTGCGATGACCACTTTCTGAATTTCTGCCAGCTAACCTGGGTAACAAAATCCACGTATCACATACAAATAGCTGCTGGCTCATTGTATCCAGCTAGCTAGTGTTGTTGGAAAAACTGCCTAGTTTTGCCAACTCGGTCATCGGCAAACCCACGCGCAGGGAGGGTATCAAGCCTTGGCAGAACTCTAGGCTTGCGGAGATGTAAATCAGACCTGATAACATAGTTTGAATTCAATAGAACATCAAAACCAACATCCCTAAAGCGAGATGGTGTGCTGGATGTACCTAGTAGTGAGGCAAGAGGTCTCAGACATTCTGGCATATTTAAGCATGAATAGCTGGCGCCGGCTCGGTGTCAATTAATATTGTGTCTAGCTCGTCATGAATCATGATCATGCTGTACTGCGTATTTGCAATCCATTTGCGTGCCCAGTTGGGGGAAAAACTACTACTTGAGTTCAGTTTTGCCGGGGTAGGCTCTATGTAGACTATGTGTACAATGCTCCTAACAATGACATCCGAGTCAATGTTGCCTCGTCCCATCCATCATCCATCATCCTCCGCCATTGTAATTAACTACCTCAAGTTCATCTATAATACCAGTGGTATTATTTCTTCAGGTTGTTCGACCCGATCCAACTCGTCAAATTCCCACCAGCACTTCAACTTCGTCGATGGCATCAGGCGAGACACTCTAGACTAGCAAGAAGGTCACCTACATCACGAGGCTCGGTCGAGAACGGAGGTGCCGGCACGAGCCAGGCTTCATGAGGTTGTTCTTGCCAAAATTTGGAGCTGAAATACTTGCGATTCTGCAGGGATAACGGGGCACCTACGACCCAAAAAATTCCAATAACAAATAAAAGCGGCCAAATGAACTTTTCAATCGTGATTATCGATACGAAGATAGCCGTGAATATACCGTGTTATCTGTTTGTTGCTCATCGATCGCTAGGACGCGTGAGGGAATGGAAGTTATCGACCAGTTTTGTTACCAAGGTTAGCCAAAAAGTGGGTCGTGGCAGGAGTCCTCATTTGCCACGATGCCCTCTACTCACTCGGTATGGACTACCGCAGTTCCATCGCAAACCTTGCACCAATTCACTACTGAATAGCATTAGATCTCATTGACCCGGGCCACGTATGTATTGACAGCTAGCTCCCTCAGTTGACCGCTGAACAGTTCCATGTCGATTGTGCCATCATGTCCAAAACACGGTTTGATCCTGGCCGACTCTGTGGAGTATAAAAAGACAGTATCAACAATCCAGTTGCCATCAACCTCCCAAAGCTAAGCGAAATAAACTCATCATCATGTTTATCCACCTCTCTACTGTTTTTGTTATGCTCCTTGGCCTGACGGCCATCGTGAACGCGGCAGTGCCCGTAAGCCCTGTTTTGTTTGGCACCAAATGTGTCGCACTCACCGTGTGATGTATGCAGGACAAGGTCAAGAGAGAGGTAGGCCTTGCTTCGCGCCGAACGTTTCAAACTTACCATATAATGCATGCAGGCCGACGAAACTATTATATCCTCCAAGCTTGAGGCCACGCCCCCTTAAGCCTTGTTGTAGGCAGAGACTCCCAAATGGTTGGTAACACTTTTTCACATCAAATCTCATCGTGTTGACTCGTAGCGCATCGTATACAGTGCGACTGCTATGTGAAATAGGGCCTGTATGCAGAACAAGTTTATGAGAAATGTCGAATAGGATACAAGTAGCGCTCACAAAGATATAAGGCAAATGTAAATACCAGGTGTATGATCGATTGTGTGTTTGAGTCTGCGTCTGTCAATCAAACTTACGTATGGGTACTTGCATGCATAAAACCAAGTGCTCAAATATTTGCTGGTGGATATGCAAGATATGCCCGGTCCCAGATGATGTTGGCGCCTGATCCAGTGGCTAATTTGAGACTATCTGGGCTGAATGCGACAATGCACACATAACCGCTATGGGGAAGTATGGTGAGGACAACGCAAGTATCTGCGTCCTATAAAATAACTATTTCAGCATCTGACTAGCTGGCGAATCCCCTTCCGTCGAGGGAGAAGTACGCCGAGTTCACGGCGGATGTGTGCCACACAGGTGGGTTGGGCGCGTACTTCCTCCCGGCGTTCTAGAGGATGATTCGGACATTCTTATCCCAGTCCGCTGCTGACGAGATCGTTATCAGGGAGCAAGGTATTTCAGTGACCCATATAAATGGCCGTCGTCGCTCAGAATCTATAAGGACTTGGCAGTACATACTCGTGCGTTGTGGTACACACATCGTACGGTCCGGATGCTAATTTTAGCATGCGGCATCATTGGGGCACTTCTGCACCAAATAAGGAGTCCTGTGGGATGCCGACGAGGACCTGGATGCAGTAAATGCAAGCAGGATCTGCGAAGGGCAGAGGGCAATGTCAACTGCAACCATTCCAAGATTGCGAATCCATGAACCGGCCACAGACTACACACGACACCGATCGCTCTTGCTCAACACGATCGGACCTGATAGCAAATATGTGTGACGATTGTCCAATGTATTGAACTTTGGAATGACTCCAATAAAGTGCATTGAATCTATAAACTGTACGATTACATGATAGCACACCTTTGGTCTTCTTTATCCTCTGCGATCGTCTCCTAACGGACCCTAGTAACGCTGGCTAGCGAGGTATGCTCCAAGATTGGTGACTAACAGGCCTGCGTCTTGAGCTGTCTGAGGATAAATGTATGTAACGACGAGGATAGCTTGTTTCGTTTGCGCTAGTACAGCACCATCGGTCTGATGGCCGTGAGCATGCATCATGGAAATATATCGTGGAGACCCACCTGTTTCTTGCCCTGAACTACAATGAGATCCGGATCATCTCCGTAGGTATCCGACGATAAGAAGAAGTATTTCTGATTAGCGATACGGAAGCCAGAGGCCTGAACTGCAGCTTTGTTCGTGAACGCAGCAGTGATCGCCTTCTGCTCTTCTGCGGAGATCTATGCAAGATCGCGTCAGAGCTGCACAGACATGACTACTTTCAATATAATTTACCGTGATGTCTGAGGATTTAGCCCATACACCTCCAGCTTTTCCCAAGATCGCGGCCTGAGTTACTTTCTTGGTGCCGACGAGGTTGTTGTCTACGTATGCTGTGGATGCATGAGACCAAGAGCTTGTCTGGCGATGCAGCTCAGACTTACCTTGCCAGGACATATTATGAGGGACTGAAATCGAGACAACGAAAAAGGTCGCGAATTGAAACTGGGAGACAAGAAAGAGTCTGGCGTAGTACGGAGATCGCCATGATATCGGCGTTGGAAAGCAGGCCGCATCAAAGTCCAGTCGGAACTTACCTAATAAGCAAGTGGACCACCGGGCCAACCCGCCACGTGGCACGGACGACTTAGTATTAGTCATCAAGCGAAGCAATATATTCTGGTCGTCATTCAAGCTTCAAGCACGACGAGAACAAGAATAGAGACATACATTGTACTAGTGAATGAAATGCAGACTCGAGGGTCAGAGTCCAGACGTAGGTTTAATTCTAGAAAGCATAAACTGGAAACCCACAAGGAATAACGCGAGTACCACGGTACAACCAGGACCATAGCATCATGATATCCAAGAATTGACCACAGCCACTGAAGTCGAGACTTGCACCTGGCCTTTAGCAAGAGAATTCAACTCTGTCACGCCAACTTAGCACTGATAGCCACCAAGTGATACGGCTAGGATTGAATAAGCGCCATGTGTCCATGACAAGGACGGCAACAATAGGTAGAGAACCGCTGGTGCTGTGGTCAAAGTGAGAGCAAAGTGAGATGAAAAATCTGAAACGAATGAACTTGGAAAAATCCATTCCCTGGAGGAACATCGACAAAGGTAGCGCATTCATTTTTGTTGCGCTTTTTGGCCCCGTGTATGGAATATCTATAGGACTAGATATTAGACCACTGCCTCAAGGGATTTCAGCTGATTCAAACGCCCACCAACTGACCATGTTAGCGATTGAAGACATGAAAAGGACGATGTCAACGAACTCGGGGGGTGTATTTGGAAAGAAAGAATTGGCCCCGCTTGACTCGACCTAGGTAAGTCTCCCGGTTTGCAACTTCTTCAGAATGCAGAACTAAGTAGCAGATATTGGAAAGCGATAGGATCTCGCCAAGACAGTCCACGTTGTCCCCACCAGGCAATTGGATGACACAAGGATACACAGCGCCTCACCGTGCGATATGTTTTCTCTGGATGTCGAACTCATTGGCGGACAGTGGAAAACAATAGTCTCGCCAAGACAGTCCAGGTAATTGGACGACGAGAGGGTACGCAGCGCCTCACTCTGCGATAAATTGTTGTACAGCATGTCATACGACGCAAGCGCTGAGTGCACATGTTCCGCAATGCGGGATATAGTCAAAGTGCATAAAAGTGTCCATTACAAGGCTATCACTTGGTGAAAGACCGGATTATTTTGGCGGAAATATGCAAAAAGAAGATAGATCCAATAAACGCCAACGAGAGTATGAGGACGACATATGGGTCTCTAACATGGGAACAAAATCAGCTTGATTGAATGTTACGTTTATAGCAACATGACACGTACACTCGCAGCCCTGGTGAGTCGTCAGTGTAAAGTTTCAGCATTGTCCCCGAAGAGCCGCCAGCTCCTGCTGCACGCGTTGAGTTCGGTTTTACCTGCGTGTTTGCAGCCCTCCGCCTTTGACAAGTTTCAGTCAGAAATGTGTACAAACCACAAACAGACCATGAGACATACCGAACCTGCGCACCTGGCGGTCTTGCAACGGTACCGACCTTGGGGCTAACAGCGTGGGTTGAGCTTTCTGAATCAGACTAAGTGATTAACAGGTGAATATCGAAATGATACAGCTAGGTTGCTCGTTACGCACCATGCTGTTGACGGTGAGCTTTGAAGACTGGAGACACGTTGGTGGAGGAAATGAAGTGCAAGTTCGTGGGAATATTCTTTAGGTCCTTCCTAATCCACCACTACTTCCGCTCCAGCGTCATTTGAGCGTCACTGACTTTTGTCCAATCTTCCTTCGTGCCCTGGCTGGTTCCTAACATGTCACTGGTAAGTTCCAATCCTATGAGTATATGTGATGCATATAGACAGGACTATCACTTTAGATAAATGCCATCGTTTCCCGAGGGCCCACAATCCTTGCTGAACACCAAGCTCCGGGCCAGCGAGACTTCTCACATGGTGCATTGTTTCCTGTCTCATCATGTGCTTCTTAACATAGTTTGCATACATAGCTACACAGACAATTCTTTCCAAGATCCCGCCGAACAACAGCAAGTTAACATATGTGTGGGAACAATACCTCTTTCATTACATCTCCGAGGACGGCTTCACTTTTCTGGTCATGGCAGATGACTCTGTAGGAAGGTGAGATTTCTGAAGGACGTTCATCTTCTTTTTTGGTTAAATATCACCGTAGGAAGATGCCATTCGCTTTCCTAGCGGACCTGCAGCGCAAAGTATGTTGTCACAGCACAATTTATCTCCTTGTTCTGATTCACATCGCAAGTTTACCGAGCTCCCATCCTCCTCGTCTGCTGTACTAAGCTCTACCCCCGCATACGGACTTCAAGGCACCTTCTCTCCCACTATCGCCTCTCTCATGCACACGTACAACACTGCTCCTCCAACGGACGAAGTCGCCCGTGCTCAAGCGGAGCTGAACCAGGTCAAAGATATTATGGTCCAAAATGTCGAGCAGATCCTCAGCCGTGGGGAGCGTATCGAGCTTCTCATCGATAAGACTGATAACATGGCCACGCAGGCCACCGCATTCCGGCGCGGCGCCAGGACAGTGAGGCGGCAGATGTGGTGGAAGAATAGCAAGATATTGGCATTGAGCGTCTTGGTTGCGCTACTATTATTGTATATCATTGTTGCTCAGTTCTGTGGGGCTAGCCTGCAGTGTGGCGCACAGTCTTGAGCATCTCCATGGTCCGGATTGCTTATTTATTTGTACCCCATAATATCCATATGTACTCCCTAGACTTATCGACACTCATATTGGCCTCGTACAATGTTTGTTATATTTAGGCACTTCAGACCCGACATATGTAACACCTTGACAATATATCTCGCCAAGGTTGCTTGCCCGCAAATTTTTACACGTCTAGAGACGATGGAGATAAGCTTATAACTGGATCAGTACTAGATATAGTGAGTGGGGGATCGACACATCCAAGACGTTTTTATTTTTCTTTAGGAAGAAACTACATAAACGTCCGTAAAGAATCTACTATGTAACTGCATATGCGTGCACAATAAGTAAAATACAAGTTTGGCATAACTCGAGACACCAACAATGAGAATACAGCATGTACGCCTCGGTCAGAACAACACCACAAAACCATTATAAACACAATATTGGCTACACACTGTTGACGGGAGAGTCCATTCGGACTCCCTCGTATAAATATTAGTAGTCCCATCGACAGCAATGGGAAATCAAAAATCCAGAAGCGACAGTTGGTTAATAAATCGAGGAAGTCGTAATATTCATCAGTCTGCTCCAGCGGTGACCGGGTTAGACAACTTTGTCCTGCCTGTACGTCGTTCGCGATGGTAGGGGTAAACATCGGGTGGCACATTCGTAGCATCCTTGAGGTGCTGCCACTCTGATTCCCGTTCTCGCTCGCGATCACGTTCCCGACCGCGTTCACGCTCCATTCGTTCGCGTTCCTGCTCTCGTTGTCTTTCCCTCTCGCGCCTCTCCTGCCTCTCCTTCTCCTGTTGCATCGCAACACTACTAGCATGGACCAGCGTCTTTGGCATGACTGTAGCCGGGAATCCCTCTTCAAGACCAGGCGTAGGAGTCACAGATTGACTTGCAGTGGAGTTTCTCCGCAACGGTGTATGCACACGCGTACTAGAATTCGTCTGCCTAGGGATCGCATTGGATGATGGTGGTGCTGGATATGGTGGGGGGAACGACGGCTCATCGCCATAAGACATCGGGATCTTGAGGGAGGATGATGGCATAGGGCTGTCAAGGATATCATGGAGCTGAGCGCGCAGGCGTTCGCGATCCTTGTCTCGAAAGTCATCGACCGCCATGATCTGGCGCGGTGCGACCTGGTCTTTCACCTTTGGCTCGTACATATCTCCTGCGCGAATCTCGTAATCTCTGCTAGCACCATCATATGAATCTCGTGAATGAGTGTCTTTCAACCGAGGTCCATACAAGCGGTCCGAGGAGTAGCGGCGTGAGGGGGAGGAAGTGCGACTAGATATATATAACGTGGATGGGTCCCGTGATATTCTGCGAGATGGTGAATGAGTACCGCTGTGTGCTAAAGCGATTGAACGCTCAGCGGAGTGATGACGTGAAGAAGATCCATCACGACTCGACATGACAATGTCATCGCGAGGGCGAGATCGGGACAATCCAGACCAGTTATCCGGATTGGCCGTAGAGGTAGACGAAGAGACGGAAGCATCGGTCAACTGACGAGACAACGAGGACCGAGGAATGGGAACAAGCTGAGACGTGGAATCACCCATCATTTGATCCTCGTCTGCGTCAGACCTTAATTCCAATTCCTTTTTGCCGCAGGTCTTCTTTAAGTGGTCCATCTCATCTTCGTCCACCAGAGCGCGGAACGACTGGATTGCAGAAGGCCAAGTTCCGATTACCTGGGCGAGAGGGGACAAGTGGAACTCCTCTTCCTCGATAGCTTTCGCTTTCGCTTTGGCCTTCGCTCTTGCTTTGATGCTCAAAGGATCGTCCTCGATCAACTTCTCAGGATGCTTCGGCTCTGGCATTGCATGAAGATACCGGACCTCGACTGGCCGTTGGAAGTCAGGTAACGGGTTAAATGCAATTCTAGCGCGCATGAGCTCTTCCCGGAGAACTGTGTTCTCACGCATTGTAGCTTGCACCTGTGGCTGTGAGTAAAACAACACTTGCAGGAAACTACAAAATACTGACTTTGCTAAATGATACTGATAAGTCCATGAAATAAGTGGACCAGAATACGATAGGCTCACCTGCTCCAATGCGAATTCGATTCATCATAGTGTTCCCTCAAACTTTTCTCTACAGCTAGAGCAGTATCTTTCTCATCCTGTCGAATACGTTGCAGCTCCTCGTACTTCACTTGCAAATTCACGATCTCTGCTGTAAGACGCGAGCGTAATTCCTCAAGAGCAATTTTTGCCTCGCAGGTCCTTTCAACTTCAGCCACCTTCTCCCGTCTCATTTCCTCAAGAGCAGTTTCCACCACCCTGTTTTTCTCAATCTCAACCGCTTTATCTTTTCTCATTTCCGCGAGATGCCGCTGAGACTCGGCGAGGTTCCAAAGAAGCAGTGCGCTCACTTTCACAGGATTCTGCTGATCACAAAAAAAAAGAAAATTTAACTGGGACGTCTTAACATGACGGCATCATGAACGTACCTGGTCAGCTGACTGTGACTTGTAGTACGTTCGACATTTCTCGATTACCCGGCGGAGTTCAGGAAGCTTGGCACCTTCTCTGACGACACGGGCGATATCTTCCTGAAGGATGCGGGCTTCGTTGTCAGGAGGCGGAGAAGAAGATTCAGGGTTTTCGGGGACTTCTTCTATGGAGGCGGTCGTAATCATAGGCGACTGCATATCAATGTGAAGCTTGCGGACGTCCTGAGGGGAAAATCGAGTCCGACAAAGGGGACATATGTGGCGCAAAAGATGATCGAGACACCTTCGGATGGGTAAGTTAGATGAAAACAATACACGATCGATGAAACGAGTACTTACTTTTGGCAGAATGTGTGCCCACAAGAGATCGAGTGCGGTGAATTGCCGCCATTCATATAGCCTTCCATACAGACATCACAGGTCGAGGATTTGTTGAGTACCAACATGGTTGAAAGACGATGGAGAGATTTCCTTGAGGATCGGGAAAGGAGCGGATTAAGCTTATAGTAGCTTGATCGCCTACTCTAGCAAGGAGGTATCGCAGGAAGGAAAGAAGGGACTTGTTAAGGACCCACTCGGGTATATGGGGGAAGGAAGGGATTTAAGCCAGCAAAGGCTTAAAGGCCAGACCTAACGTGCGTGGCGGGGTGGGTGGTGTAATGTTGTGCAGGGGAGGAGCGAACATTCATAACGTTGAAGAGATTATAAGAAGACACGAGGCAACTAAGCGACGTGAGATAGAACTTCGCTACTTCCTTGAGGGTCCTAGACAAACCTAAGTGAAATGATCACATACTAAGTTGGCACGATCAATCACCTGGATGGAGCTTCCGATCTGAGTTCCAACCACCACGATAAGAACTTCATGACCCGAGTCTTACCTTTAATGAAGCTTAGCAGGGAACGCTGAAGGGAATCAGTGCCACTCGCCGGGATCGAGAGTTTGTACCGAAATGGCCGAATTAGTTTCCGGCAGAACTACGCGTGGATAAAGCAGTGAACAACCCCTCCTTTACCGCACGTTCAATTTCGGCTGCCTGGCATGGAGAAGGGGTGCCTATGAACAATCATTTGGTTCGGCAGCACTGATCTCATAGAACCGGCCCGACACGGATAAGTTGACGATCCTCGTGGGTTCGGCGTTGCATAATAATAAGTTCGCTGGTTGAACGTTTCGTCAAGTGCCGCAAAGAACGTACAGCTCAACGTATTTTGTCCGAGTTGTTGCGTTATATGCGTGCCTCCCAGGTGCACTGAAGTTTGAACAAAAAAAATTACCCTTGCCCGTCGGTAATGGGCTGAGCGTCGCTGACTCAGCACGCGGTGTTAACGTGTCCATGTCATGCCTTGCACAAGCACTACGTAGTACCACAATACCGAAATTAAACTTCATTCTTAAACATATCTTGCAAGGCTAGTTCTGACCTTGGACACTCTCGTTCCTCTGGATTGCCGCTACGTTCCTTCTGGATTGCCGCTATGTTCCTTCTGGATTGCCGCAACATTCCTTCTGGAATACCGGTACGTTCCATCTGGATTACCATTCGTAACTGGGAGTCACCGATGGATGGCTGGGACATATCACATCCGGTAATCTCAAATCATTCTGGAGTGTAAGTTTCTGACATTTTTTCGGTGGTGTTGCTCGAGGTTAAGGGTGATGTACTGAGGTGCTCGACGGCGACATGGTGTTACGATGTCGAAGCGACATGGGCGTCTGCCACATTGTCAAAGGGCGCTCCGAGTTGATTCTGAACACGTATTTATACTATCCACAGGTTTCCTGCCAAAGATATACTGGATTTAGATCTCCTTTACCTCAAGGCAGCTCTATCTTCCATTCTGAGAGGTCATCCAGTGGAGAACGATACCTCGCTGACGCGCAACAATGCCCTTGACATCAACCATGATGCATGACGCTCCATTGCCCCCTATACTAATCTCTGGAGATCCCCTTTGATTCTGAAACGAACCGTTACCTTGGGTTGTCACCTCAAAAATGCCCGTATCCTTCGCCTTCGTCACCTTGGCCATGTTATCGGTCCCAATTTGTCCTATGGGTATGTTTTTCTCCGGTGTGTCCTTCATTTGGGCATTTAATCTATCGGCATCGGCTCCTTGTGCTGCGCGGGATGCTCTTTGTCCACCATTCTAAGTAGACAGGTCACCATTCTATCTTGTTTTCGCTCTCCGTCTCCGCAGTCAAGTCATGACCTTGAAGAATTATTTCTGAAGTAGTACGGCTTGCGCAGTTCGGCCCCACGTTCATACCATCTCCTCCTAAGTACGTGCCAAAGTTCCGGACTATCTGCAACCCCTGGCTTCGTTCTCAAGATGGTAAGAATACTTTGGAGTCAAAAAAACACCCCATGCCATCATACTTCGGAAGTATATCGATCTGCACTATCGATAGGCACATCTCCCATCGTAGTTATTTGGGTCCAATCATCCGTTTTTTCCTGTGCTTTATCTCCTTTGTATGGCTTTGCATCCTCAGCTTATTTCGAGCGCTTTGTTTAGTCTCGAGTTGGATCAGCCCCAGATCACTAATAGTACTCCATGTCCGACTCCAGACCTTTCCAAGCACCCGAGTCGGGCGCACTGCGATGTCCTCGGAGCACGGTACGGATGTTATTCCACACCGATGGATGTAGATGGCGAGACAGTTGCACCGACTGGAGTCTGGACGCAGATGGTTGCACTGCTGTTCCGATATAGCATGTTTTAATATCAAGATACAGCCCCCAGATAGGGAACAATTATAAGTGCTATCTCATTATTAATATTAATGTTAATGACTGGGGAAGTTTCCGTGATTCGGACCAGACGTACGTACAGAATGACCAGCGTCTGAATCATCACTTGCATTAGCACACACGTGTACTATAAGGTGCCTCGTGCCTCTGCCTGTTGAACTATCTCCGCTGTTTATCAGAGATCCGCGCCACCGAACGCAAAACTCAGTACTACTAGTACCAGCGCTATACCAAAAATTTGACGATCAAAAAACTCGCAACTCCGAATTCCACCATCACTGCTTCTGATGAAATCAACGGCAACACCGTAGATAACAACAAACCTTGCAACGTACACGTACGCTATATGTCATGTCAGCGTGGGGAAAATAAGCGTGGCGCATGCATCATGATGGCTATCAGCCTGCGCTACGCTCATCCCACATCCTTGGCCACGCACATCACGCGCGTAGGAAGCCTTGCTTTTACTTGATCCGCAGCATAAAGTACTGAAGACTACATATTAGAAGGGAATAGAAGGGACGCTATCTCAGCGATTAATATTAATTGTATCGAGTCGATAGAAGGTTCCATATGTGCAGGCACATCAGGGCGTAATCTAGAGTCTATGTCAGGGGTGCCGGTAATCAGCGCCCTTGCAACTGCACTGATACATACACACTTCGCGAGAGCCTCGTGCCCGCCAGAATATTAAGTGACCATTGTTTTGGCCACCGCCGCTGCAGCGCGCTGCTTGTCGTGTGTCTATGTCAATAACCACTTGATCCATCCCACAGCTAGCGCAAAACCAACACAAAAGAACCTGTTGTCTCATGCCATGATCTCGAACCCCAGTATCATAGCACCGATCCCATCAAAGCCGAATTCGACCCGCTCATCATCTAAAAAAATGCAGATTGCGGTACTTGAATGTCAGTTACGATAGATCACGACGTACACCAAATGACAGAAACATTTAATAATACAAACAATACGAGAAAAGGAGATAGATGGCAAACAACAAACGCATGACAGGTAACAACAACCTAGCGTCTCTCTTATGTAAAATGAGTGCGGTGAGAACAAAAACTCGGCGACGAAAAACAAACGGGGAAAAGAAGGATAATCCAGATTCCAGATAAAAAGAACCATACGTATACTAATCAGAAGCACCAGTCATGTGCGATTAGCCCACATATGCACGATGCTAGGCCCACCAACGACTGGGGTAGGAGCAACGATCTGTGGACCGTTCCCTGTATTTGAAAAAGGACCATGCCCCCTACTTGTGACAGAACCATGCCCGGTGTTTGTAGACGGACCATGCCCGGTACTTGTAAAAGAACCACTCCCAGCGCCTGTGAAAGGACGCACGGCATGATCGTGCACTGAAAGCGAAGCATCAAAATGGAGCGATAGCGCGTTGGTATTCGTATATGAAGAACTGCCACTGGGAACGCGCGGTGTCGTCCCTTCTTCGTATTCCCTCGGTTGTGAGGTATGTCGATGATGATAAGCGCGCTGGGTGCGAGAGGATTGGGTACGAGAGAGGCGATTTGGAGTGTGTGAGGTGTGATATGAGGTAGGACTGGGTGGAAAAGAAGTCCGACTCGCAGCATACGAAGATTGCGCACGATACCTCCATTCCTCATCACGCACTGCATAATCTGCATTCCCTCCATCTTCAAGAATAAGACCCAATGCATCCGGTCCAGCGGTAGACATTGGTATGACGGGCGCCACGCTGATATCTTCTCCATCTTCATCTGTGTTATCTTCATCTGATTCTAGGCGACCTATTATAGACTCGCCGGCAACGCTCCCCTGCCCACGCACGCCCCCATTGTGCAGCCCCAGGAGGCCTAGGTGATCCATGCTGCCTTCCCGTGAGGTGGATATGGTTCCCCATGTAGTGACGCTTCCTGGGCTGTCTGTGTCCAGTGTTGCATCTAGGGAAGGAATAAGTGGTCGGGGTCTAGGCATGCGGATGTGCGCGTCGGTGGGACGGGACGGTGCACCGTCGTTGGGACGGACAGAACCAGCTGCGCTGTCATTCAAACGTGCAGATCCTGCTGCTACATTCCCATTTGACGTCGATGACCCAACATCGAAACCAAGAACCTGGCCAACACTTTGCACCGCCGCTCGACGTCCTACACCGATATCAGGCGGTGGCGTACCAAGCAAAGGTACATCCGAAAGACCTCTGGAAGCATTCTCCGCTCGGGCCGCCTGACCAACGTTTTGCACAGTCGCTCGACGTCGCATACCATTCTCAGGTGCTGGCGATACAAGAAAAGGTACGTTCGGATAACCCCTAGATATGTTATCCACTCGAGCTGTGTCAGTTACAGCCCGTCTGGGAACGGGTCGTGCTCGAGGCACAGGCGTCGTATGATCTTCTCCTGATGAACTGGTCAAGCCCAGAACATCCATGACTGATTCTGGTGATTGCATCTCTAACAACGGAAAGGCCCTTTCGTTGCCACCAGCCGACGACATGTACGGAGCATTCATCAGCTGGTACCCTGATTCATATCCTGAGCCATAGCCTGAGACGTAAGCTGCGGCAGAGGCTAGCCGCGTGGACAAATCATTCGTTACGTCTGTGCTGATACTGATACTGCTCTTCTCTTTGCGTCTTAGCTCTCTCTCGTCATCAGATCGCCGATCCTCAACGACGAGGGGACGTGTCGCCCAGGTAGGAGAAGATTTGACACGGACAGTGCTTGGAGGGATGTGCGCTCCACGGGTCGTGATGTTTATTTTTGACTGAGACTCGGGTGCGCGGCTGTGTATGGATGATACACGGGGCCGTCGCGTGTTGTCTGTCCAGTGTTCTTCTACCCGAGGAGCCTCGGGAGGTCTGATATTGGATATGGGTGGGGGCTTAGGGGGATGAAAAATTGGCTTGTGGGACGAGCTTGCCCCCTTGGATCCTGAGGCGTGGGCTTCGCCATTGACTTGAGTGGCGTTATCCCGCGGGGGTGGTGCGGGGTATGGAACGGCGCCGCCTAAGAGAGGATCAAGACCCCCACCGGGCCTTGCAAAGGTTGGGAACCGATCGATTGGCAAGGGCTCTGGAGGTGGGGGGAGGGGGTTGCTGGTGTTGCGATATCGGGGTTGCGGGTGTCTAAGGTTTTCTAACTCGGCATGTAATTGGGACAGCTATAAGGACACGAGGTAAGTCCAATGCAGATGCCGCTGAACCAGATGATCACCTCTCTATATAGAGAAGTCATTTAGAAAATATTCGTTACCTTACTACTGATGACTCACAGAGCATGTTCATTCTCAATTTCTTGAATCCTGGAAAGCAGACTTTCTTCCACTGCACGAGATGTTTTGGAGTCGTGGTCTGCATTTCGCTTGTTGTTCCGAAGTTGGCTTCGGAGGCGACGATATTCTGCTTTTTCACGTTCGCTCTGATCTTGAAGAGCTTTGTATCGCTGAAGGGAAGACACGGCAGCCCGAAGAGCCATATGCTAAAAATGTCGCATGTGAGAAAATGAAAAGAAATTGTATCTGCAATGAGGACCGCCATACGTCGTCTTTGCAGTGACGAAAAAGACTCACAGAACTGGGGTCGTCTGGTTGAGACTGCAGCCATTCCTGTACTTCGGTGACTACTTCAACGACATCTGGCTCAGGTGTCTCTTCACCTGAGACCAGAGCTATGCGCTGGAGGAGGAGACTGGCATGAGCATCGATAGCGTCCTGTGCAGCATTATCTAGTTCGGGTGGATTCGCAAGGTGGAGTTTCTTGATACGATCTGACTGGAAAGGTTTTCGGCAAAGTGGGCATGCACTTGGTAATAAAGAGCGAAGGCACCTGGGATTGAAGAGTCGGATATGAGAGGAGAGACATGAATATTGGTGGCCGCAAGCTGGCCGGGAGTATGAACGCACGTGAGACAGAAGACGTGACCGCAGGCGATTGCATGTGGAGAATTAGCGGGGTCTGAAGAGATAGAGTAGAGATCGAGGCAGACGTCACAACAACTTGCAGGATGGACAACAAGCATACCTAGTTCATAACAAAAGTTGTCTACCACATGTCTAGGTGTCGTGCAATAACAGTGCTATGATGACTCAGCGAGTAGCTTAAATTAAAGCGCTGAATCATCATAGCGGTGCTAGGCGGGGCCCCTGTCAGAGACCTACCAGGTAGTACTCATCGCTCTGCTTTCGTCATATCACCCAGTAACTTTGAGTGAGTCAACTCTTAATTTTGTATTTGCCAGTGGTTTCCATCCAACGGTTCCAACCAAGTTCAAGTATTCGAAGCTTGCTCATGAGTACAATTCTGATATAAGACTCCATTATATAAGTACCTGCGAGAGACAAACGAGGGACTACGGTAAACATTGGTGACGGTCGAGTATAGTGTGGAACGACGAGGGATGGGAGACTATATACCTGTCTGCGTTAGCAATGATGTAAAATACGAGACCGCGTGCGCAGCAAGTGTCAGAGTAATAGCGAGACTTGCATCACTTACATCAGAGAACCTGTGAGAAGAAGATATCGTCATATATCGTTATATATCGTAATATATAGGAAAGGTTTTCGTCACATTGGAATATAAAGCAATATATGACTATGTAAAAGCACCATAATCAGCATAATCCCCAGCAAGAACTCACCGGTTTACTGATGTAGCTCTTCTTCCACTTGATCTGCCCAAGCGTCCTTTGCTGCGTCGTTGTTGAAGCTTGAAGGTCCACGCATAGGTGTTGGATGTGGAGCGTTACCGCCAACTAACTTCTGCGTTAGCCTCGCTAACTCAGGAAAATTGTGCTGGGGAAGACTGTGGGAAACCGTACAAAGTGCGTGAGAAGACTGCTAAGCGTCGACGTTAACCAAGGGTCGCTAACTCTAATGTGTGTACTACATTTTTGCTTATGTCTGATTAGTATCAAGTAACGTTAACTGAGTTCTGATTCGAAACCCTGTTCGTTGCAGGGTCAAGTTGTTTGGCAGAATACCTGTGAGCTCCTTTGCACACGTGTTGGTTGAAAATCACATAAGAGGCTTGACAAGTTTCATATCTCAGACCCTGCAGTTTCACCCGAACTATGACCTTCCATGTCGGTTTCACTGATTCACACGAGTTTTCTCCCGTGAACATGAACTACCCAGCCGCCCACATCCATATGCTGCCAGTGGAACTTCTACAGCACATATTCTTGCTCGTCGTCAATGACGTTCCAGACTGTCCTAGTGTCTTCTCCTATGGAGATACAACCATCTCCCCCAATGTTGGCAGCCCTCCCCTAGTCTTCACCCGCGTGTGTCATTTTTGGCGAGTCATATCATATTCAACGACAGCGGTCTGGTCGCGCATGCAGGTCTCCCTTCCGGGGCGAGTCGAACCGTTGAAACCATTCCTTCCATCTTTCCTCCAGTCGTGGCTTGCACGCTCTGGAAATCAGCCCCTCACCCTCCGCATCGTGTCCGGAGAGCTCCCTGTACGCACCACACGCCGCTGCATGCGACAGTCGTGCCAAGAACCCTCACAGGCAGATTCTCAACTGCTCGAAATCCTTCTTTCTGAGAGCAAGCGCTGGGAAGCCGTGGCCCTGGCCTTTTCAGACGACCTAAACCGTGACTTCGACACACCCGAGTTGAAATCCTTGCAGTGCTGCTGGTCAGAACTCAGCAGTTTCAATGCACCAAACCTCACTCATCTACACATCACTTATCGCTGGTCTCTTACTATGCGATTTAGACACATTCCCACCTGTGACAACGTACGTCATCTTTGGGTCCAGAATGCTTCTGCCCGCATCATACGTTCTACTTTCCTCATGTTCCCTCGTATGGAGTCCATCAAGGTCGATCTAATCATATCAGATATCGGCCATCCACACAATTCAACCACCCACTCTTGCCTCGAATCGATCACTTTCCCCATCCCCTCGGATCCTTTTCTGTATTGTGGCAGCGCTGGAAATTGCATCTTGCAACGTACAGGTGATAGACTTTCAGACGACCACACCGTTGAGCGAAATTGATGTGGATGTCATTGAGCCGTTATTTTCACTTGCGAGGGAAATTACAGTTAGTGGGGAGGTGCTCTGCCGTCCTGTCAGGTAGTTACTGTGTCCCCCGTTGGTCACACGATAGGTATTGCTCATATATGTTACAGTAGCGAATCTCGGTATATAATATCATATTTATGTTAGAGTTGAGGTATTACAAGATAGGTCAGCGTACAAATTTTGTCCGTCCCGAAAATTGTTAATATCAAAAGTCATTACATGTGATAGCGTAAAGCGGTGGGAAACCTTGCAGGGAACTATCAAACTACACCAAGCGGACAAAGGGTTTGAGGTAATCAGGCAAGGGAGGAGGAGAGCTGAAACGAAAGCGGGAAGGGGGAAAAACGCCGCGAGAGATGCCATCTGCCAGGTTATCGCAAGACCTCACCCATTTAACAGAGATCCGAATACCATGTTCGAGGGCAAACGAGGAGAGACGTTGCAGAATGTCATTTTGGACCACGTTACGAGATCGACCAGCCTTAAGGGCTTGAACACCACCCTGGTTGTCAGAATGCAACTGCACACGCACGTCACGAAGACCCGAGCGGACAAGGGCGCGAAGACCGAGGTCGATCGCTACCATTTCTGCCCATCCAATGTCTCGACCATTTCCCCTCCAACCGTCCAACAATTCCCAAGCGAGCCAGCGGGAATCAGCAAGGAAACCAATACCAAATGAAGTAGAGGCATCGACAAAAATAGATAACGGGGGAGGGTCGGGAATCAATGGACGGGGCGGGGTACTTTCTAGTCGAGTGTGAATGACTTGTCGAAGATAATCTATGTTTGATATACTGGGACAGGGCTGCAGCTCTGGAGACAAGGTCATCTTCAAGTAGATAAATGAGTTCTTTAGGGCTTACGTCGTATCTGTCCATCTGGGGTATCACCCAACTTGGAGAACATGATTTCGAAGGCCTCTTCTGCCTCATTGCAGCGCACAGCGCCGAGAAGCGCTGCATTCTTTAATTCGTACCCTACGTAAGAAGAAGGATTGAGTTTAATGACCTACGCAATTGGTAGAATAAGCACAACTGCTAGAGAAATGACAACTATCGCCCTAACCCTGTTCGCATCGTGAAGAGCCACTACGAAGAGGTTGCGTTCCAAATTTGCTTTACTGCGGCGCACAAAGAGTGACTCGCATGAAGAGTCCAGCTCGATGCCCGCTGAATATAGTTCAATAGCCGTTTCGTAATTTTTTGCAGCAACAGCTTCGTCTCCCTTTGCGACACAGCGCGCAGTGCAATCATTCTTGAATGCTAAACGATACCAGAGTAAGTGTCGATGCTCAAGCCATCCAAGACCCAAAAGTGCTCACCAGTAGACCACTCGAGGTCGCTGTCCTTCACATCCTCATCGATCATGGACATCATGTATTGGTGGGATTCGACAGCTTCGATCACTCGATCAGCGCAGAGCCATGCTTCGCACCGTATTTGGTTGACGGTTTGCCATGACGCGTCCAAGTCCCAGCCGAAGAGCTGTCCGGCATATCAGCGATCAGTAAAATGGGCTCTGTGGTCTCACGGCGCACCACCGTGAATATCTTCAATCTAGGTTCAAAAAGTGCTCTGCTCGAAAACAAGTCCGTAATACTGGGAACGCTACGGTCGAGTTGATCGGCGGCTTCGCTGTACCGCCCATCCTGGAAAGCAATGACTGCAAGCTGCACACGTAGATACGACTGACAGATATGGTCGAGAGTGAGAAAAATTCGAGGTCTGACACAAAGCTCACATTCACAACGTTGCACGGAATTGGATCTGAGTGTTGAGAAGCGGTCGTGAGGTCTTCAACTCGCCGCACTGCCTCATCGTAGCGACCGGCATAGAAAAGCGCAATAGCCTGGACAAAATGACATCGAAGCTTGGTGACAAACTGACTGTTAGAATAGTGACTACAGTACCTTGATCAACAGTAAAAGATTGATGATATTCGGATCACTATTGGAAAATACAAAAGCGGAATCGAAAGCTTCCATTGCGTCCCAGAGCTGCTTGTTGCCGCAAAGGGCGATGCCCTTGGAAATGTAACCCAATAATGAGGGCTGGATAGCAATAGACTATGCGACAAAACTGAGTAACCTATCGTCGACGACATCATGAGAGACAGAATATCTGACCCTAACTGCGTCTTGAAGCGCATCGTCCCACTCGGACTTTCGTGCCCTTACAATTGAGCGATTAGCATACGTATCGCGTCTGTTGTCATCTTCGTCAAAATCAATCTCATGAGTCAGGATGTCTTCGATGATATGAAGGTCCCCGGAATTTCGAACCGTCTTCTTTATAGCGAAGATCTACATAAAGTAAGTGCACGTTCGGTCAAAAGTGAACGAAGACAAATAGCTCACGTCAAATAACGAGTCCTGGTCGTCATCGTCGTGGGTGTCGGAGTCATTTGTACCGTCCTGATAAACAGAGGGATCTTTGTGATTGCCATTATAGCCGGTATGCTCATTTTCGCTGTCGCAATTACTCTGTGAGTCAGTACATACAAAAATGTTATGGATGAATAGAAAGGCAGAACAACAACGAGCAAGAACATACCTGGGTTTCGCTGCTGCGGAGTTGTTCTCCTTGTACTTCTTCGTACTCTGTTGTGCTTCCCTCCACTTTTTCATGCTCCAGGATGTCCCTAACAGACCAAAGCTGAAGATTCCCATCATCGGCTCCACTCACAAGCAGTTCTGCATCAGGAGAAATTGCGACAGAGTGAACTTTTTTGGCGTGCTTAAGTGAATGTCCTATCTGCTTATGCGTCTTTGTGCACCATAGCCGCACAGTGCTGTCGTCCGATGCCGTGGCGATGAAGGAGTTATCTGAAGAGATAGCAAGACAGGTGATCCAGCGAGTGTGGCCGACGCACGGTTGACCGATCTTTTCTCCATTAGACGAATCCCAGAACTTGGCTGTATTGTCGGATGATCCAGAGACAAGCTGGCTACCGTCAGGCGACCACACAACACTTCGAACTGACCATTGGCCAGCGTTGATCTTGAGCAAACATTCGGCGTTAACGGTGCGCCACACCCGGATGGTATGGTCAGATGATCCGGATGCTAATTTTAGCCCATCCGGGCTAAATGACACACTCCACACGTGTACGGTTTTACGATGATCAAGTGTTGCAAGGACTGCGCCAGTCTCCACATCCCATACAACAACCGTCGAATCATGTGAACCGCTTGCAACCATCCATCCATCCGGGGAGAAGCACACACAGTTCACCTTCTCTGTGTGCTTCACCAGCGGATCGAGCAACATCTGTTTGCTCTCGGCGTCCCAGATGATGACAGTGGTATCATCTCCACCACTTGCAATTCGGCTGTCGTCTGGAGATATGGCGACTGATCGCACCCGGTCCGTGTGCCCCTTGAATGGCTCTCCCACCATTTCTCCTGTCTGCCGCACATCTAAAATTCGCAGGGTTTTATCATGTGAACCAGTGACGACCCGTCGACAGTCATTGAAGAATGCCACTGCCCACACTTTGTTCTTGCGCCGTCCCACAGCTTGTATTGGCGCAGGCTGCCCTTTCAAAGTATCTCTTGCTGTATCAGGTACCCCTGACATATGTGTGACCTAGACAGAGAGACGGACAATTAGAGTAAATTCAAGTTGACGAAGAGCGTACGTTTGGGTTAACGTTGTGTTGTGGTTGCTGTGTGCAGTGAGTTCTTGGATTTTTTTCCGAGGCGACTCATGTCCAAAGTGCTTATGTAGGATCCTTGGGTGGGTCCGTACCACGCTGCTGCAGCATGGATCTCATATCGCTTCTTCCGAATCATCACCCAGTCTAGTATAATATTCATTTCATTTCACATTGCAATTACTTCAAAACAGGATACATCAATGTGGTAAATTTATCCGAGTCTATCGGGCAGTGATGGTTCTCGGTATATCATGTTATCCTGTGGGAGAGCTCGAGGAAGATAGTCAATGTGAATTCCTCCGGCTCCTGACAAAAAGTCAGTCCATGTCTGTGTTCGAACACGCGCACCGAACTAGGCACACGAGTGAGTACTGTTTCTGTTCGTAGGGTAGTATGCAGATATGTGAACAATGCATTGAATAGATGTAGCACTGTTGATCCAATCGAGCCAAGGGACATCCAAAACCTAAAGATACTTATCGGGCACCATTCAACAATCGTTTTAGGTGCGGAGCTTTAGAATTAGTCAATCGTCGTGCTGCCAATTACAGTCACATACCATCCATTCGAACCATCGAAACTGGAATCAACTTTCAAGGAAATACTACTTATACTAGTATAAATAAAAGATTAAGCGGACTTCGAAGACCATTGATTTTTTCTATCACGTCTAGGATCGCTGCCTGTATTCAAAATCATGAGCGGGCCAAAGTCTGAGCTCCTCGATGGTGTTTCCGTCAAGCTCGATCGGAGCTCACTTGAAGACGTTCTTTCTGCTCCAGGCTCGTTTCTATTATATAGCTTCCGCTCTACTTGGCAATGGACCAGATGCCGGCATTGAATGTATTGTGACGTCATGAAGATAGAAGTCGACAATGCAACGAACTTTTCAGATGAATGGTCGCCAAATGCCAGTTCCACTACGTGCATCTATTTGACAGCATGTTTTCTGCTTTACTTTCCATTGTTCCTCACCTTGTGAAGGTACAAAGTCAGCTGCTCGGACATGATGATGATGATTTGAGTGATAGCACTTCAACAGAGAAATGCTCAGGTTTATATAGTACATCAGGGAAAACCTCCTGCACAAACTTAGCTAAGTTTAGATCTAACTTCAATAATTACCGAAAATTCTTCCTAAATATAGCGTTTAGCAGATTATTAAGACTCTTTTACCCCCCCTTTAACTTTTTCATAATTAGACGATGTTTTTGCAGATTATGCAGAACTTAGCACTAATGTTGTCAAGATTTTCCGCGCTTTCAGATTTATTATTGCTTACTAGAACCGACTTGTATACAAGAAAGAAATTAATTTTCATTAAAAAGAATGTAATAGTCAAGAGCAAGTATATAACAATTTCAAGAGACAATACTAAGGAGATTTAGTCTTCGTCCATCCCGTCGAGGTCGAGGAATGCAAGCGCATCAGCTTCTGCATCAGTGGCGGAACTATTGTACTGCATGAGATCCCTTGCAAAAGACTCGAGTGAATTTGAGATGTACGAGAGAACAAGATTGGACATACTGTATTGCAGCGAAGATATCGGCCATCAGCTTGTGGAATTTCTCAGGTGATTTTGTGCTGAGATCTTTTAGAAATTTGGCATGGAAGAAATAGACCTCGCTAAATTGATTTCCGGTAAAGTTAAACTTGGCCGGAGCGCCATGTGCCTTCCAGAAGAGCGCTGCGTACACCTATATAGTCATTGTCAATATATCTTAATGTTGATGGCGACAGGACACGTTACCGAAGTGGCTGTCAAAGCAACCATTGGAATTGTGACCTCGGGCCTTTTGGCTTTATTCTTGGCAATATCGGAAAATCTCCTCGCAAACATGACACCAACTGACTTCGGTCCATTGAAATAACAGCCCTTCATGAGGTGAACCATAATATCGCCCAGGTAGGGCTTGTTCTGCACCGGTTTCGGCACATCATCATCCTGAAATATATCAGTAGTAAGTCAGTACAAGGCAATGATATGAGTTGCGAGACACACATTGAACTTCATGAAGTAATGGTAGCGGTGGTTGACAAGGAGAGCGGTACAGTTACTAGATCCTAAGCGAAGGTAAGCAGCAACTTGATTGCAAGCCTCGTCCTTCAGATCACCACGAAACAATGGTACTCTAGCTTCAACCTACAGATGTCATGTGATATGTTAATAGATGACTTGGAGCGAATTGATTCAGTGACAGGTTGGCTTACCAGGCCTGCAAGAGCTGAAGCATACCCGTCGTCAATCTGAATTTTCTTCTCAATAGACGAGGCACCACGATCACGAGCTGCCTTGAGGAGCGATTGGCGTGAGAAGGATGCCTTTTCGGTTAATTCCGGATAGCCAGAAGTGAATGTCATGTGCGCCTTCGCTTCAAGGATGGCACCTTGGACGACCTGCCATGTGACACTATTTTGATCCGTCAGTTTCACCTTCCCATCTTTGGTCAAGATGAGCTCTGTGGCACTTCAGGATCCAGAATTGTGCGTAGATGTTCCACTCTCAATGATGATACTGACATCTGACTTGAGCTCAGTGTCAGACATGTCCGGCTCGGATTTCGCCTTCTCCACTGTACTGGGAACTTGACTGGTGGCCCTACTGGATGCATGGTCGATAGTACTGAGCGATGTCGATGGGTTGACGAAGGTGCTGGTGTTGGACTTGAGCAATGATGCCGGTGAGTGGTTGGCGCTTGACGGTTCTTCTGATTCACTAATGATGTCGTCGGGCCACACAGGTGTCTAAAAATTGTGACATGAGATCAGAATATGGCTATTATACGGTAGCCTGAGTGCTTATACCTCTGCAGCTTGTTTGCGAGCACGAGCAGACTGTTTATCAACCTTGTAAGAGTGTTTTGATCTCAGCGTCACATATACTCAAGTCACAGGTTCAAAAACTCACAGGAAGACCAAGCGATTTCTTTGCCTTGGAGCCCGGAACGAAGGTTGGAATCTGTATGTGTGTATCTGACTTCAATAATTTTAAAGTTAAAAAACCAGAGTCTGATGTCAGCGATATCGAGGATCCGAAATCTAAAACGAGTCGAATCGGTGTCACTGCGGTCTTCTGCTTCTTTGCTCTCGGTTTGTTCTGAACACTTATTGTTGGAAGGCCTTTTGTAGGCATTATGACGAACTGACGACTTTTTCTCTAGTCGCCCTGGATATCAGTCGATTGTGAGTGGCAAGCAAATTTTTTATGATTACTGAGCTCACTTCGTTTGCGCTTCACAGCCTCTGCCTCGTCATCTGTTTCTGAGACAGGCGTCAATTCACCTGTTGGCGTAAAGCACTGGGTATGACTCGAAAATTTAAACAGGTAGTACTACTGACGACTATGTTTCTTTGTTGATTTAGGCTTTGAGCGTGGCTGTGAACCCCACAGCGGTTCATTGTATTCTGTATCGATAACTGACTCAGAATCAGGCAGCTGTGAGCCTTTCTTAGCCTTAGTAGCCTGATGCTGCTTGCGAGTGTTAGTCCGAGTCTTCTCTGGTAACCAGACTGTTCTTTTGTGAGTATAGACGCTTCCCTGGACTTCAATTGTACTGACCCGCTTTATCCATAGCCTTCTTCTTTGCATTTTGGACCACTGTGGACGACATAGGCAGCTATGAGTGACTCGGATACGAACAAGGCCGGATGTGAGTACATACTTCGAGCAGGATGATTTTCACTACTCATAGCGTGCTAATATGATATATAGGTAGGACGAAAATGAATGAATGTGGTTTTGCAATGAGTGAGAGGGAGAGAAGTTAAAGGTACGAACACAAAAAATTTTGGGGGGCACTGGAGGCTTTTCTGCCCAGCACTGCCATAATATGCTAACTAATGTACTAGTGCCCAGCATTTTTCGGGAGATGGAAGCTTTTACTGCATTGGCGCTTCCATAATCCGTTGTCCAGGACCCACGTTTCGTTTTCCTTGCACTGGGCCGAAGCTTTCTTCCTTGCACTGGCGCTTTCTACCGTTCTTGTACTAGATACGAACATCGTCCTATCTTCCTTGCGCAGGTACTTTCGACCATGCTATCTTGTACTGAATACGAACATCATCCTAACTTTTTTGCAGGCACTTTCTACCATTCTCGTACTGGATACGAACATCTTCCTATCTTCGTTGCACCTGTAGGTGCCCTGTTACTGTTCTGAAATGGATCGGCTCCCCAAAGCTTCCGAAAACAAGATATGTGCAAGGTGACGTTACTTAGTTATCCTGGACCCCAGCAACTCCTCCTATCATCGGTGAAATTGACCTACCTGAAAGTCCAGTGCACTTAACTTCATTTGTGAATTGATCTTTAACTTAACTTTTCGCTTCAGGCGAAAAACCATTGCTCCAGGAATCCAAGCGCCATTTCATTCTTTCCCCCATTCAATACCGCGTATACCAGTTCTTGCAATTTATCAATTTTTTCTTGATGGGAGTGGTGAACCGACATCTGTGAGCTTTTCTAACGCACCTGACCTTGGCGGCAAATTGACGCCTCTAAGTTTGGCGTTGATTCTACAAAACGAGTCAATGGTGTACCCTGAGGCACTTTTCTAACGCACCTGACCTTGGCAGTGAATTGACGCCTCCAAGTTTGGCGCTGATTCTACAAAACGAGTCAATGGTATACACCGGGGTACTTTCAAAGTTTCTAATGCACCTGACCTTGGTAATGAATTGACGCCTCCGAGTTTGGCGCTGATCCTGACCTTGGCAGTGAATTGAGGTCTCCAAGTTTGGCACTGATTCTAACGCACCTGACCTTGGTAATGAATTGACGCCTCCAAGTTTGGCACTGATTCTACAAAACGAGTCAATGGTATACACCGGGGTACTTTTCTAACGCACCTGACCTTGGCAATGAATTGACGCCTCCAAGTTTGGCGCTGATCCTTTCGTTCTTTCCCCCATTCAATACCACAAGGTCTGTTACTGTCTATTGTCCTGTTAACTTTGTCTTAACTGTTCACCAGATATGGCAAATTTAGCCACCTTAAGCATTGCTCACACCCTGATTGCGTCCATCTTCCTCAAGAAGTGCAGTCTCATGCCTGGTCTTACGTTCTCTGACGAGCTCATCAGCTGTGATGAGGGTACGCACACCGATTTTGCTTGCTTGCTCTTTAGCTGCCTCGAGCGTTGCCCGCACCCTGTTCGCGCCCATCTTCTGGCTCAAGAAGTGCAGTCTTACTTAGTCTGGTATGGTTTCCTAAAAAAAATTACCCTACGTGTCAAACACTGGTGACTGGAGTCCTGGTATGTTATATAGCATGTACCTTGTTTGCGAGGAGCTAATCTATTTCAGAACAGTCAAAGGGCACTGCATCACTCTTTCTACCGGATATGAACATCATCCTGCTCGGCACCTAATTTGCTTGCTTGCAACTTGGACGTCACCCTTACCCTCGTTTAAGTAAGTTAAAAAGGTCCGTCATCGCTCCCGATTTTTGCTAATGTGGTGTATGCTTGTTTATTACAGTTATCTATCACTACCACCACCATGACTCACAAGCATGGTTCAATGCTCTGGATGCATTCATGATTTTTCTGTCACCGGCTTGAGCCTGCATCTGGCTAAAACTCAGGATTCACGTTGCAAAGCTGTCCTTGCCTCCTCTCACCATCATGTCTACACTCCGAGCCCTCCCGCACACAACGACGCAGAAATGCAGGACCTTGAAGACAGATTTTTGGACCCATTTGATGAAGATCAGACTTGGCATTGTGACGAGCATGCCGAAAGCAGTAGTGACGAGGAAGATGATAGAGAGGAGCACGAGTGGGAGCCACCAGTACAGGAGGACGAGGGCGTACCTGGGGAAGAGCCACAAGCAGATGACTCGATGGACAACGACAATGGCAGCGCTGATCATCAAACACGCCACCAGATTGAACGTCGAATTATCGATCAAGACAGAGTCCATGTCGTGTCATATCCTGATCATCGAGCAGGACAACCTATTTCCCAAGCCGAAATTCAAAACGCAAATGCTATGTATGCTTCTAGTATTGATGGCGCAGAAAATCCTTATGCTCCATTCCACTCTCAAATGGACTGGGAGATCGCACGATGGGCAAAGTTACGTGGCCTGAGCTCAACAGCATTCTCAGACTTGCTTAGTATTGATGGTGTAGGTTTTTTTCTAAAAAGATTTACTTGAAAGTGACATCTTCATTCACAGGTTAGTGAACGCCTCTGTCTTTCTTACAAAAATGCGAGGGAGCTTAATAGGATCATTGACACGCAACTTCCTGGTCGCCCCAAGTTTCGCCGTGAACAAGTCGTCATTGCAGGCGAAGCTTTTGATATTTTCTACCGAGACATAATCGAATGTATCAAGGATCTCTTTGGCAACCCAGACTTTGCAGACTTTCTCGTGTTTGCACCAGAACACCATTACACAGATGCTGATGAAACAGTTCGGTTGTTCAGTGACATGCACACTGGTAAATGGTGGTGGAATACGTAGGTGAGCTTATGTAGATTCCGTATCACTTGCTTGATCAAATTAACCTTGATATTGGACAGAAAATGCTCGACAAACAGCAGCCAGGCGCAACTATCATTCCTGTTATCATTTCGACTGATAAAACACAAGTCACTATGTTCCATAACAAAACTGCATACCCTGTCTACCTTACTATTGGTAATATTCCGAAAGAGATTTGTCAAAAACCATCCCAACGTGCGCAAATCCTTCTTGGGTATCTTCCCACAACACACCTTGAACATATCACCAACAAAGCCTCACGTTGCAGAAGTGCTGCAAACCTTTATCATGCTTGTATGGCTCGTATTTTGTCACCACTGTGTTATAATAACATGTAACCGAGAACCCCTCCTACGGAGGTCATCATGACCTTAGCCCCTATCCCGCCATATATACCGTCTTGGAAAGACTTACCAACTCAACGGAGACTCGTAGAGACGCCTAGAACGGCCTGGATGCCGTTAGATGATCTAGACCAGCCTAGGCAACATCTGGACGGACCTAGATGGTCCTCGACCCGGATCATGAAGAAGCTCTGCCTCATGGTCAGAAGAGAAGCCGCATGCCGCAGCATGCGCAGTTAAACTACAAGGCATGTTTAGCCTTGAGGACTGATAGAAGAGGCATGCAACACCTCATGTACAGATAATCGCCCGCATGGCATCAGATAAGATGCCCTTGTATAGACACACTTATACTTACCTACCATACAAAGTATTGGTCTGTGCACACGGACGACAGTATATAGAGCAGACAGAATCATGTATATTCCCTACTTGATTCTACTAGGTTTTCATCAGAACTTCCTCTGTGTGATCATCCCAATCACTCAGTCTAAGCCGCACCTAAAGGAAAGCCGACGCTACCTTTAGTGGAACCCCAGAACCTCTCATTCGAGAGAAGATCCCCGTCTCTCCAGTAGCGAGCCCGCTATCAGATTAGGCAATCCGCCTAGGGAGAGCTCGACCTATCCTAGTCGTAACAAAAGAATCAAGTCTTACTTTCCCGGCCCTGCTCATCACGCACCGCCGTTGAAACCGATACCGACCGCACCGCTGAGACAAGTGTAGACCTCTACTCTCGTGACCAAACCGCCGAGACCGGCGTAAAGCTATCCACAAATTGTCAAGACAGACGTACGAAGCTTTGAATCCTTAAGCCTATCACTGCCCCTTCGCACTACTCCCTCTACCATGAACACACCGACACAGATCATGATTAGAAGAAATACCGACACCGCCGTTAACCTTTCAGGAATGGAGACAAGACACCACCTGAAGCAACGACGATGCTTTTCTTGCCATCACGTTGGACACAAAGCCAACGACCATAAGTGCCCGATGAGGAGAAAGATTATCGAAGAAGAAACAGTCCGCAAGACAGCGGCTGGTAAGGAGAAGACTGGACTGCTGATAATTAACAAAAACAGCATATCCAAGAAGAAAGAATTACGGGTTGCCGCCACCGTAATATCAACCACTAAGCCGCCCATCACAACCACCATGGTCATAGACTCCGGCGCATGCGATTCATTTATAAGCGGAGAACTCTGCAAAAAATATCGCATTAGAACGCACCTCCTTCGGACGCCAAAACGAGTAATGAATGGAGACGGAACGATAGTCGATGGAGGCAAAGTTAAAAGATTTTGCAGACTCCTCATAAAGATTGACGACCGAGTAATGCACGGACGATTCCTTGTAATCCCGCGCCTGGACGACATCCTACTCGGATTCACATGGCTGGCCGCTGTGAAACCTTCCATAGACTGGAAGAAAGGTACAGTAACTATCCCTGCCACTGACAAGTCAAGAGGACTTGAGAGAATAATCGAGAGAGGTAGGAAGAGGAACGGGTTGAAGCCGCTCTTCCATAGAGAAAAAAGGACGCGAAACACGCGCCAAAGAAGGGAGGTAGGCACCCTGACGAAGAAGACAGAAGAACTCCGAGATGAGTATAAACTAGATCCGACAGAAGCACCTGTCACGCAGAACCTCCGAAATGAGGCTAAACTACCTGAACCGGCTGATTCGCCGATGGAAGATCTCCGAAACAAGTCGAAACTAACCTCGGGAAGACGGAGATTCAATCCAACACTAACCCCAATCGAGGAACTCCACGAAATCCTCGAGTACGCACCGGCTACCAAGCCGTTGGAACCCTACGCCTCGACATCTCAGAACGTCGAGAAGAAGTCCATGAGACAGTCGGACTTAGTTGCCACCTCACCACCCGCAGATAAATATAGATTTTCTGCAGTACCTGCCCAGATCTTAGGAAAAGGCAGAGCCACTTTCGACGAGGAGCCCCCTCGTGCAAAGATCCCTAGACCAGCCCCTGAACCGGAGAAAACTCAGAAGTACGTCTTTTCAGCAGAACCTGCTTCGGTTCTTGGAAAAGGTAGATCGGTAGTCACGGCAGAAGTGCCGTCACCGAAGAAACTCCGCCACGAGTATAAACTAGCAGAAGATGAACCGGCCGCTGATCAATGGATCAACCGAGCCGAGCCGATCATTTCATTTCCAGAAAGATCGAGAACCGCACCAGTCACACCCACATTCCTAAAGCCAGATCCGGCCGATATAGCAATGATGGAAGGAACTGACGATGAAGATAACGACGAGATAGTCGTTAATACCACCTCCGCGGCCCCTGCCATAGCAGAAGAACCCGCGACGACTCCGATGGAAGTAGATCGGATTAAACAGCAGAACTACTTTCAGCGAACGATAAAGCGTATCGCAAGACACTGTCCCCACCAGGACGACCCTGTGGATGTTAGATTATTCCAGGGAGAGATCGCACCAGTCACGGATCAGTCCGACCCTGACTGCGGAAACCTTGATTTAGATTTTTAGATTTGATCGGTGATCAATCGGCTTACTTGGGGGGTGAAATTCTCATTTAAAACTCATTTCACTCTTACTTCCCCTCACTTCGGCTGCACCCCTATCTATAAATATCGACAATTGCCACGAGTCCGGCACGACTATAAACTGCGCAGAAGTCCGAGAAGACTCTAAACTAGCATCGGTCCATCACGACCTTAAACTGAGAAAACGTCCGAGAAGACGCTTAAACTAAAAGAAGAAGGACGAACCCGGAGACACGGATCCCTTCACCTTGAAGACGAGACTAATACACCGAGAAACTCCTGCAAGCCCCGGATGCCTTACCTTCACCTCTGTCCGGAAAGACACTAAACTATCACGAGACGAACTCCTTGGAAACTCCTGCAAGCCCATGGAACCCTCTAGAACGCCGATCGAGAAAATCAACAAAAAGAACATCTCGAAACGACATACCCCAGATCTTGACAGAATTCGACTAAAACGAAAAGATCAAGACACGCACGTCCGCAATGACGCAAAACTTCTGCTTCTGATAGTCCGAAATGACTCGAAACTATCCTTCGAACGCACTGGCATGGTGACTTTCCCCTCTGCCAAGAGAACCATGAGGCACTCCACGCCTTCATGATTGAACCTTGATAAAAGAGATCATAAGATAACTTAGCACTGATCAAGCGGAGCTTAGAGCACTCTTGGAGGCCCATATAAACCCTCTACAATGATATACTCGTGAGAACCTCTCGCAACCATCTATGCCTAACAACATCACCTCTGCTATCATACCCCTGAGGAACTCTGGATTTTCCAAAATCCTCGACCACCTCGAGAAAGGCGCCGTCGCCAAAACGGCCATTCTCTCCCCAGATCACTTCCTAGAGATCGGTGACATCCTAGGACAGTCAGATGTCAACTTCGCCGCATCCGCATCCTTGGTGATAGACATCATCCGCACCACGCGACACCTAGAAATATCGGTGAACCGTGAAGACTTAGACCCAGCAACTAGAGCCCTCATAGTGCTGGAAGACCAGAAGAAAATCCGCGCAATGGCGCTACATCTCCTCCCCGACAACTTCAGCGACCTCGTAGACATCGCGAAGAAGCGCGTTGGAGAAAGATTAGAAAGACCCCCGCGCCCTACCAAGAAAGCGCGAGTAGACCGCACCTGCATCTGTCGACGATGCGGAGGATACGGACACACTTTTAGAAAGTGTCCAGACACTGTGTGCTGCATCTGCAGCGAAATCGGACCCGACCACCTGTCGGTCCACTGCCCTCGACTCGGAGAAGAATCACCCCTCCCAGAGTTTAGAGACGACGAGGAATACTACAAACTCCTCGTAGATTGGGAAAAGAACCACGTTGCGCTAGAAGAACTAATCGCAAAGAACCCCGCGCCGCGGTCACCCACTCCCGTTGATACCCGCAGTACTACTGCCACTCCAGACGAAGAAACCCGGGAGAGAGTTTTGTCGTAGTCGGAGACTTCGACCCAGAAACGGAGGTAATGTTACAATAACATGTAACCGAGAACCCCTCCTACGGAGGTCATCATGACCTTAGCCCCTATCCCGCCATATATACCGTCTTGGAAAGACTTACCAACTCAACGGAGACTCGTAGAGACGCCTAGAACGGCCTGGATGCCGTTAGATGACCTAGACCAGCCTAGGCAACATCTGGACGGACCTAGATGGTCCTCGACCCGGATCATGAAGAAGCTCTGCCTCATGGTCAGAAGAGAAGCCGCATGCCGCAGCATGCGCAGTTAAACTACAAGGCATGTTTAGCCTTGAGGACTGATAGAAGAGGCATGCAACACCTCATGTACAGATAATCGCCCGCATGGCATCAGATAAGATGCCCTTGTATAGACACACTTATACTTACCTACCATACAAAGTATTGGTCTGTGCACACGGACGACAGTATATAGAGCAGACAGAATCATGTATATTCCCTACTTGATTCTACTAGGTTTTCATCAGAACTTCCTCTGTGTGATCATCCCAATCACTCAGTCTAAGCCGCACCTAAAGGAAAGCCGACGCTACCTTTAGTGGAACCCCAGAACCTCTCATTCGAGAGAAGATCCCCATCTCTCCAGTAGCGAGCCCGCTATCAGATTAGGCAATCCGCCTAGGGAGAGCTCGACCTATCCTAGTCATAACACACTGGAGAAAGCTGGTCTCAACAGTCTGGCAATGCGCAGCGGGGATGGTATCTCACGCTACTGTCATCCTCTCTTTGCTTGCTTTGTCGGTGATTATCCCAAGCAACTATTGGCTACTGGAGTCAAAACTACAGAATGCCCAAAATGCGATATCCCACCTGACGAACTTGAGAGTAGCACAGCGCCCTTTGAAATACGGGACCTCGACACTGTTCTTGATGCACTTGCCACAATCGATGTTGGAGACCTCACTGATTTCATCCAGGCATGTCGCAATGCAGGAATCAAGCCCATTGTCCACCCGTTCTGGGAACGACTTCCCCATGTCAACATTTTCCAAGCCATCACGCCTGACATCCTCCACCAATTGTATCAAGGACTCGTTAAACACCTTCTTGGTTGGCTGGCACAGGCATGTGGAACAGCCGAGATTGATGCTCGGTGTCGAAGACTACCTCCAAACCATCATATCCGTCTATTTACGAAAGGTATCACCAGCCTATCTTGTCTCAGTGGCACGGAACATGCTCAGATATGCCGTTTTCTCCTCGGTATAATTATTGACATCCGACTTCCTGGCAATCTGGATTCAGCTCGTCTTTTGCGAGCTGTTTGTGGTCTCCTGGATTTTTTATACCTGGCACAGTATCCGTGTCACAGTTCTGAGACATTGTCTCTCCTTGACGAAGCTCTCTCCCTCTTTCACAACAACAAGCAAATATTTGTTGACCTCGGTATTCGGAATAATTTCAATCTTCCTAAACTTCATGCAACTCAACACTACACATCAATGATTCGGTTATATGGGACCACAGATAACTATAACACAGAGTATACCGAACACCTTCATATTGACTTAACAAAAGATGCCTACCGTGCCACGAACCACAAGGATGAGTTTGCGCAGATGACCCAGTGGCTCGAGCGCAAGGAAAAGATTGTGTGCCATGATAAATTCATTCAGTGGCGACTCAACACCAATTCCTTTACCCACCATCCTCAGCCACCTGACTTGTCTTTTCGCCGCACACAAACCTTAATGAAGCACCCTAATGTGAAAGCAGTGCCAATCCAAAGATTAATTTTGGACTATGGAGCCATCTACTTTCGTGAAGCACTTGCTCGGTATATTGCACAACAAAATCATATCAACGAGACCCTCTCCCGTCGACATCTTGAAGACCTCGCTGCTAATATTGTTCTGCCATTTTGTTCTGTGGCTGTCCACCACAAGATCAAGTGGGTTTCCATCGACGCTCGAGGGCATGGTGATCCATGTGTCACAGTAGATAGTGTCCATGCTAAACCTGGTTGCACTCGCACTCATCAACGAAACGATACGGTGTCTTGTTACTTGAGGGTCTTATATGTTTTCGTGTAAAATGCAGTGACACCACAACTACACTTTGATAAGACAAAAGCTGCCAACTCCTCAAGTACACGGTCAACGGATTTTCTACTTCTCGGTTGATAACGTGCTGTTCGTTGGAGGCAAGACTATACAGTCGGTCGTTTGGTTGAAGCGATGGACTGCTGAAATAAGATAGACAATGACTAGTATAGGTAAAATCCTATGAGAGTCACTGAAATATATTGAAGAAGGTAATGGACAGTGATATAAGAAACTATCCTAAATGAGTAGGCTGAACACAAAGATACTTCAAGCTGGAAGGATGGAACCTATGACTAAGCTGGACCTCAGGCTGTGGCTGAAAGGTCTTGCAAACAAAAGATGGGAATGCTGACTAAGCTTTTCCCAGACAAATCCTTGCTGATGTAATCACAACAAGAATACAACAGATCTAGACCACCTAAGGACTAGATAACTAAATACAAGTGATAGACTAGCTGGAGTCTAACAATAGTGAGTAAATACAAGACTAAGATTACCTAATCTTAGTGTAGACTAACTAAGGGAAATACTGGTCCCTTGCACTTCCTGTGACAGACAGGTGAAGTGGGAATTCTCCTCTGTGAGAGACAGAGAAGAGGCCCTCCTTTTATACATTTGGCGTGGGAAAGATACCTAGGTGCCAAATGAATATCTGGAATATCCTGCTCCACTTATTTGTAATCAAATATTACATGTATACTATTAAAATAAAAATAGAACTGACTCAGTCCGATCGATCTGATCACCAATATGCAAATAGTGGTGCTAGACGACAAATTGAGCAGAGAAAGAGAGTTCATGAGTCATCAGATTTGACTAAGCTTGGTCTTGCCAATTTCTGAATAATCACATGTGAACTCATTATGTAAGTTTTTCCCTAGAAGAGAAAACTAACATGATGAACGTAAACAACTCATAAATATGAAACATGGATAAACAATTGCAATCATAGACCAATGAAAAAGATTATGTAAGAAACACAGTCTTCAGACATTCAGCAAACAAAATTAAACCAGATCCTAATACAAATTACTCAAGTCTTTCTGCTTCTTTTCTTCAATTTCCTATATATTGCCTCTAAGCAAGCCTCCCATGGACAAAGCTAATAGGCTCGATTGCTGTAGGCTTTTTTATATATATATGAATATGTCCATGTATGATATCCATATCATGCATGACAGCGCTGTGAGGTTTAATTCACACTCTGCTGGTGGCTGACGTTTGTTTACAAATGTTTTGTGCCAGCCGCTGATGGAGAGGTTGGGGGGATAAAGTTTGGCTGGGTTTGAAAGGGTTGCGCATGTTTCCGGCTTACCAAGCATTGTACTACCACATTCGGATGCTGCCCCTTCCTCTCCAGCAAGGTTGGGAAGGAGCCTGTGGGAGACCTTGCAGGGAACTACCAAACTACACCAAGCGGACAAAGGGTCTGAGGTAATCAGGCAAGGGAGGAGGAGAACTGAAACGAAAGCAAGAAGCGGGAAAAACGCCGCGAGAGATACCATCTGCCGTGTTATCGCAAGACCTCACCCATTCAACAAAAATCCGAATGCCATGCTCGAGGGCAAATGAGGAGAGACGTTGCAGAATATCATTTTGGACCACATTGCGAGATCGACCGACCTTAAAGGCTTTAACACCACCCTGGTGGTCAGAATGGAACTGCACGTGCACATCACGAAGACCCGAGCGGACAAGGGCGTGAAGACCGAGGTCGATTGCTACCATTTCTGCCCACCCGATGTCTCGACCATCTGCCCTCCAACCGTCCAACAATTCCCAAGCGAGCCAGCGGGAATCAGCAAGGAAACCGATACCAAATGAAGTAGAGGCATCGACAAAAATAGATAACGGGGGAGGGTCGGGAATCAGTAGACGAAGTGGGGCACTTTCTAGTCGAGTGTGAATGACTCGTCGAATATGATGATCTATATCTGATATACTGGCACAGTGCTGCAGCTCTGAAGAAGGGTCATCATCTTCAAGTTGACAGATAAGTGCTTCAGGACTTACGTCGTATCTGTGCATCTGGAGTATCGTCGAACTTGGAGAACATGATTTCGAAGACCTCTTCTGCTTCATTGCAGTGCACAGCGCCAAGAAGCGCTGCATTCTTTATTTTGTACCCTATGTGAGAAGAAGGGTTGAGTTTAATGACCTATGCAATTGGTAGAATAAGTACAACTGCTAGAGAAATAATAACTTTCATTCTCACCCTGTTCGCGTCATGAAGAGCCATCACAAAGAAGTTGCGTTCCAAATTTGCTTCACTGCGGCGCACCAAGAGTCCAGCTCGATCCCTGCTGAATACAGTTCAATAGCCGTTTCGTAATTTTTTGCAGCAACAGCCTCATCTCCTTTGGCAATACAGTGCGCGGTGCAATCATCCTTGAATGCTAAATGATACCAGAATAAGTGTCGATGCTCAAGTCATCTGGGACCCTAACACGCTGACCAGTAGACCATTCAAGGTTGCCGTCCTTCACATCCTCGTCGATCATAGACACCATATGTTGGTGGGATTGGACAGCCTCGATCACTCAATCAGCGCACAGGCATGCTTTGCATCGCATTTGGTTGACAGTTTGCCATGACGTGTCTAAGTCCCATCCGAAGAGCTGTCCGGCATATCATCAATCAGTGGAAATAAGCTTTGTGATCTCATGACGCACCACCATGAATATCTTCAATCTAGGTTCAAAAAGTGTTACAGTTTCACTTTTCACCTCTTCACATATTCTATGACTTTCCATCACATTCTATCGTACGATTCTTTTACTCTTTTTCCTATTCGCTATTCATATTCAAGCTCCGCTTCAATACCCTTATATATACCTTACTCTTTACGCTTTGTATCTTTAACTTGACCTACGCAGACCAGGGCCTGCAATCTAGCTTCATCTTCATCAGAACATTGGCTTTACTTGAAACCGTTGAAACATAAAGACGTCTAAACAACGCCGAGCGTAACAAAAGGTCAAGTTACTCTTTTACTGTGCCGTTACTTGTAACATAGCACACGAACCCAGAACCCACGACATCTCACTCGGCAATTTGCCCACCAGGTTTTACCTGGTCAGACTCGAGACAGACTTTTGTGAAAACAGAAGACGAAGAAACTTGGACCCTAGCTGAGTGGAGAGACTTTTACGATAACCTCGCACCAGCAGGAGAACGTTGGAACTTTTGGACCCAACAATACGAACCCATTGAACCCATTCCACCTAGACCAGAAACACCCATTCCCGACGAACCCATCCCCATCGATACCGACTCAGACAACGACATGCCCAAAGAAATCGGATCCATCCCAGAAGCCTTCAATGGCGACACCAGAAAGGCCGTAGGTTGGTCACTGCAAATGGCAGCCTACATGACCCTCAACGATGAAATCTATAACGAGGATAAGAAGAAGATCATCTTAGTCCTTAGCAGGATGACGAAGGGAGAAGCAGCTAAGTGGGCTGAGGGAGAGCTGAAGAAAGCAACCACCACCGAAGCAGGCTTCGGTCTTTACGACGACTTCTCTAAACGCTTCACTGACACATTCTACCCAAAGAACCTCGCCGACACTGCACTCCGCAGAATCTCCACCCTCAAACAGACCGGCAGCGTAGCAGCCTACGCCTCATTATTCCGCACCATCCTCACCGACACCGGCATCAACAAAGAAGCCACTAAGATCCTCTTCTTCAGAACTGGCCTCAAGCGAGAGCTGACGGTCACCATACTCAGGTTCGAAAAGATACCTACTACACTGGACGGGTGGCTAGACAAAGCCCTCGACGTAGAGGTCAGAAGAACATTCACCAACCCACCGTCGCAGTCCTGGGGACGCGACCCATACGCAATGGATATTGATAGGATGGAGGCAGGAGAAGACGACGATGGTGAGAAAAGTACGAGGAAGACCTACCTCTCGCCCCAAGAGCGAGAACGCAGAAAGAAGGGGGGCCTCTGCTTCAAATGCGGAAAGAAGGGCCTCATCAAGGACTGCCCTAACCATCCCACGGTAACGTCTACCAGGAAGACCCAGACTAACTCCGCGTCCAGTTCTAGCAAAGACGACGCCGAATACCAGGAGTTTCTGGAGTGGAAAGCGTTCAAAGCATGCCAGGTAAAGAAGCCGAAGAAGAAAGAGGAGTCAGAAGACGAGGATTTTTAGAACGGGGATCTGCACCGGTGTCAGAATCTCCACGAGTAGGACTTTTAGTACAGAACATTGGTGACTGCAATTCCATGCGCATTCCACTCACGATTAGCTCGACTAAAACCAACAAAACCACCGAAGCGGCTGCCCTGATAGACTCAGGCGCCGAAGGCGAATTCATCGACTCAAAATTCATTATCAGAAACCGAATCACAAGTCACGAACTCGATAAACCCATACCCGTACGAAACGTGGATGGTACACTCAATAAAAACGGAAAAATCACACGGTACTGTAATCTATCCTTTTTCATACGTGGCATTCCCATGCGAACGTGTTTCCTCATTACCTCATTGGGAGGAGAGGACGCAATCCTGGGAATAAGCTGGCTAAAGAAAGAAAACCCAGATATCAATTGGACTCGAGAAGAAGTCCACCTTCGCGAACGAAGCATCAAACCAACTATCGAAGAGATAGAAGATGAAGATGCCTATCACGTCACCAAGGAAAGTAACGATGAGGAGTGGGATCCATCTAACGAAACCACTCCGGAATCCTTTTCTGACGAAATTCCCGACCTCCTACCCACCGAAGACGACACTGACGAAACAGATGTTATAGATCCCGACGATGTTCTAATCGCTTACATCAAAGGCGAACACGTCTTCGGAACATTCTCTACGGAAGTATCCGAACCTCCCCTTACTAACGAACACATCCCCGCAGATCACCGGTTTTACTCGTCACACAGCACCCTATTACGGAAAACGGCAAACACCTCGCAACTTCTCGCTCAAGAATTCGCTAAACCCGTCAAGAAAACATTCGAAGAACTCGT